CCACCCCTGCCCGTTTCGATCTGGATGAGCATCGTACCGGCGTGCGGTCGTGTATCACTACTGCGTGGTGCACGTTAAAGACCCCAGGCTAGCGGTTGTACCGCACTGGCTAAATTGCTCATCTACAGTGGGTAACAATGTCGCCATGTTCTGGCAGACTAAACTCCTGCTGTATAAACAACTAACGACTAATTTGTTTTGTTTTAACAGCGCGTTATTTTGAGATTTTCATACACCAGTGACGTAGGTAGAGGGGAGGCGGGGGGAGCTGTCAGGGGGGAGCCCTCTTTCTCCTGCCTCTTTTTCATCCTTGTCCCTCCTCCTCCTCCCTCCTCCCCCTTCTCCTCCTTCTCCCTCTCGCTTGGTGCATTGTGGGAGACGTCCCATAATGCAACACGCGCGGCACCGCGGTGCATTATGGCACGTTTCCCATAATGCGCCGCGCGGTTACGCCGACGGCGACGCGTCACGCCGACGCGTTACGGCTACCGTTACGGTCGCCGTCGGCGTAACGCTTTTTCGTTACGCGACGCAAAGGCGTGACGAAAAAGCGTTACGCGACGCTGACGTGTCACGAAAAAGCGCTACGCCGACGCATCACGAAAAAGCGTTATGCCGACGCGTTACACGACGCCGAGGTGTCACAAACAAGCGTGACGCCGACGCGTCACGAAAAAGTGTTACGCGACGCCGAGGCGTCACGAAGAAGCATCACGCCGACGCGTCACGAAAAAGCGTTATGCGGACGCCTTATGCGACGCCAAGGTGTTACGAAAAAGCGTTACGCGACACCGAGGCCGAGGCGTCCCAAAAAAACGTTATAACGATGCGTTCCACGACGCCTCGGCGTCAGCGTAACGCTTTTTCGTGACGCCTCGGCGTCGCGTAACGCGTAGGCATAACGCTTTTTCGTGACGCCTCGGCGTCGCGTAACGTGTAGGCGTAACGCTTTTTCGTGACACCTCAGCGTCGCGTAACGCGTAGGCGTAACGCTTTTTCGTGACGCCTCGGCGTCGCGTAACGTTTCCACGTAACGCTTTTTCGTGACGCGTCGGCGTCGCGTAACACATTTTCGTGACACGTCGCGTAGCGCGTCGGCGTCGCGTAACACGTTTTCGTGACGCGTCGCGTAACACGTCGGCGTAACGCTTTATTGTGGCGCGTCACGAAAATGTGTTACGCCGACGCTTTACTGTTACGCCGACGGCAACGCCGCTCAAGCCAGAAACGGACGCCTAAGAGGAGCGCTCGAAGATGAAAGAAACATCAATCAATTCAGGTTTTAAAGTCTGATGGTTAAGGTTTTATAGGCAAAAATGCTTATGTGTCTAAATATTCCTAGTACATTGAAGAATCCCGGCAAATGTTGCCGTCATGTGGCCGTCATGTAGCCGGGATGCAGCAATATCTTTTGGAAGCGGGCAGAAACGGCCAATGTTGCCGTCATGTAGCCAGGATGCAGCAATATCTTTTGGAAGCTGGCAGAAACGGCCAATGTTGCCGTCATGTAGCCGGGATGCAGCAATATCTTTTGGAAGCTGGCAGAAACGGCCAATGTTGCCGTCATGTAGCCGGGATGCCGCAATATTGGTTGGACGCTGGCAGAAACGGCCAATGTTGCCGTCATGTAGCCAGTTTAGTGCCGGCATCATGAATGCTGGCTCTAGGCTGGTCAAGCTGGGCCCATATGGGGCCACCTTAAGCATGCTGAGACCAATGTCGGCACAATATCTTGTGCTGCCTGGGTATGAGACCGTTTCGATTTGGCCGTGAATTTTGGAAACCGAACTTTGAGCCATGATTGTTATAAAACCACACGCAATGTCGGGGAAAAAATGATACCATGTATTTCAGGGACACTGCCTTAGCTGAAAAAAGTCGCAATCTAGCATTGGAAAATATTCACCTGAGTCGCCCTTTACTGACAGGGTATTCATGGTGGCCAAAGACATGACGTATGAGAACCCAACTATCGAGAACGCAATTTCGGGCAGGAAATGCGTTTTTTTTACCCGAAAACTAACGGTCGAGAGATGGCCGGCTTGAATCGCGCTTACTTTTTTCTCAATGGTAAAGTGCCGTTTTCCATGGTTTAGATACAACCACCAAACGTAATCAGACATGGGTCAACGAAGGCAGCCACTCAATACTAAAAAATAGACAAAACATTATAACCATTTTTGGGGCTCCTAAGCAGCTGCAAATACATTGACATAAAAAAATTTTTGCAGCCACGTGACTTCCGGAAACTTTCCCCTCCTCCATATTTCTTCTTCCTCCCCAGTCCAGTTTTCTTTTTCTAATGAAAATATACGTGACATAGTAACAAAACATTGATTCGGTAATCTTCTGACACATAATTTCTAGCCTGTAAAAAATAATCAAAGCGAAAATTTGGGGGTGTCAGTGTCCCGTCAAGCCCAAAATACCTTAATCATTGGCAGGGGGCGCACAAAAGTGCAAAGAGAGGTGCTGGAGGCGCGTGCTATCGAAAAAGCTGGCGCGGGGCACTGTGTTTGCCAGCCTTCGGGTTATCTGCACAAAAAAGAGATCGAATTTATAGATGCATGGTAAGCGACACGCCATTGGTTGTTTCGGCGTTGGTTGGCTGTGTGGTGTTTTCTTGTTTGAGACGTTTTTAATAAAACTTCAGTTGATAGTCAGCGCTTGTCCTGTGCTCTTCTCTCGTCGTCTTCGTCTTTTTGCGCGCTGTTTCCAATTTTCCGAATTCAAGTCTCGCGTGGAGTGTGTTGTTTTGTTCATAAATTTTTATTTCTTAATACGCTTTTGGTGTTCTTCTCGGCTGAAGACGCAGTCTCTTTACCCGTAGTACTACTACTCATAGACGTTATTACATATTAGTACGAGTCATGCTCTTCGTGGCTTTTCAGTGATGTTATCAGTTCATATCAAAGTCAGAGTTGTAACTTCTGTGCCGGAAAAAGTAGGCTTACCTAAAGGTGTAACAAGCGTAATAACGATTATAATTTTTGACAAGGTGAAAACGACAGTGAAGATTTTCTCTTGCACCGCCTCCAGCGTGATCTTTCTACCTCCGACAAGATTTCGGCGGAACGTGCACCCCGAGCGCGCGCGGGCAGTCAAAGCACGGTGGAAGGCACCGAGCGCACTCGTTGGAGGTCGAGCGTTCGGAAGACATGCCCTGTCATTATCATTATGTCATTAACTGTAGTTTGAGGTATAGTGTGTTACACGGTGAGTACTATATAAGCTGCCTCAATTAAACATATGCAAATGGGATACATTCCAAAAATTCACGCAGTGCCGCCACGGCTTTTTTATGTGAATGAAACAACGTGGCGTTAAAAGGTAACTACATTTCTAATGTGAAAGCACTGAATACCTCATTGAGCGACGCCCGTAAAGTTGGCAACTAAATACCCACTGACTGAGCGTTGTCGGCAGTAGCGAAACGGCACTTAAATTCCCATGGGATGCGAAAAATTTCTCAGGGAAGTTTCTGTAAACGAAGCAATTTAATGACTTTGAAAAAACAATTTCGTACATTTCGGTCTGCATTGGAATGGAAACCGGGACTCCGGGGTACGAGACGAGCACACTTCCCCGAGGCCACGCTGCTGCACGGTTCCGGCTAACTAAAGCTGTGCCGGGACACCGTTTTGCTAGTTTCGTGAAGTGCAACCGAAGGCAACCCTAGGCGAATGGAGAAAGGGAAAGCATTTGGAGGGCTGGGGAGGAAGCGAGACGCGTCCTTCCTCCCCAGTGCTCCAACCTTCTAGTGCTCTTCCTTTCTACCCTTGCCCTCCATTGCTCTCCTCTCCCATCCCGCGTTTCTAGTGCTCGCCCTTCCTCTCTTTCACCTGCTGTTGCCTTCGCCTGCACTGCACACAACTAGTGACACGGAGAGTAGTGCGTGCGTCATGCCCTCGCATTTTTACACGTAAGCAATCTTAAGCATCACCCACGATTTTTTTTCTCGCCCTCATCACTTTCATTGGGATCCTTTTGAAAGAGAAAACGTTCCCTCGGAAAGTCAAACGAGCTGCTCAGTTCAAAGATTTATGAACCATATTTTAAAGGGTGTTCCTCTTGAACGAACGTAATAGTTATTCTGATAATAGCGATCATTACGCAGTCGTTGCAAATTTAATGTGCCTGTTTGTCGATCTATTTCATGAGCATATAAAAGTATGTGCGTGCGTGTGTGTGTCTGTGTGTGTGTGCGTGTTTTCCGGAAGATACATTATACAAAATCACCCTTTTTTTTTTCCTTTGAGTGCTTAGCCGAAAACTTGATGTTAAGCAGTTAGGGTTAATACTTAAGTAAAGGTTTCTTGGCCATACGTACTAATATGTACCAAGGTTATTAAGGAGGAAGCGTAAAAACAAGAAGAAATCATGAGTCACTCTCCATCGTATTCGCACAATTGGTAAGCGATGGAAAGCATGCACGCACTACTGCAAAAATAAACGGGCCTTTAATTTTTGTAAGTTAAATTATTTAATGGCACTACATCAACTTAAATGTTATGCTTGTCGAAAAACGTTTTTCGAGGTTTACCTAGTTTTGGCGGTACATGAAACAGCGCAAAAGATAAAATAGGGCCCTCAACTTGCCGCATAAACTAATATCAGTAACAAATTATTCCGATAAAGCGCTTCTGGATGTCTTTGGAGGAGCGCCGTCTAAGTCTCCGACACAATATTCATTTTTATTCTAGTTATCAGACACAGACATGACTTTCTGCCTCAGAATACTTACCATCTCGAATTTATACCTGACTGTGAACAGATGACTCTTGCTAGATCCGACGCCGTGCCTCAAGCACAAATCTTTTTTCGGACGTTATTCTTTGTTCGTGGCATATCATAGGGGAATTTACTACCAGCGGAAGTGTTGTGCCTCGGGAATGCTGATTTAATTTTGATTACATGTGACCCCCGCAATAATGCCTAAGAGGCGCTTCGGGTTTTTCTCTTAAATAAATAATGCAGAAACATGTCTGCGTATTTTACAGGAGTCTTGCCCGGCCCGCCTTCGACGCCTGCCCCTACCAAGCCCCCAACCTGTCCCAGTGATCAATTCACCTGCGGCACTTCTGAAACATGCATTCCAGCAAACAAAGTATGTGACTTCAAGGAGGACTGCATGGATGGGTCGGACGAGAAGAACTGCGGTAAGTCTCTGTGCACATCTTTTTTTTTTTCTCACAAAATGTAGTTATGAGTAGGTTTCATTAAAAAAAATATATATATATGTATATGTGTAACTCAAAAGAATAACGCAAACATTTCACGGCTGCTGAAATTTATCAGCAAGGGTTTCCCGCTATATATAGGTAAACAATTTAAGTCGTGTCTAATTGTGTGCTGAAACAACTTTTCTTGCTACATTGAGCGGGACAAAATTATTTGGTTATTATTGTATAAAAATGATATTTTATAGATTATCATAGCGGGTAAATTTTAATGTGCATAATTATATACCAAATCATTACTTTTAATATCTTTAAAAAAATTAAATTTCGGTCTTAATTTCACACAAGTAAGGGTTCAGGTCCTAAATGTGGCGGGCATACTCAATTACTGTATAGCTTTGCACCAGGGAAATTTATATATTGTGCTGTGGTTAGAGTTGTGGAAATATTCAAATTTTGACATAGTAATATTGAATAATATACTGTTTTATATTCGCTTCGCGATCAACTGCGATATACCTATTCTTCCACAGCTTGAATTCGTCTTCCTAGCTCACTATTTTTTTTTCTCTTACACGGTTGACGTGTTTAGTTTTGTCACTCCAGTCTCGGGTAATTTATCAAAATTTTTAATATACACGAGCTCGCCTGAGCTCTTACAGTGATTTTGTTAATCGTGGCAGGTTTGCCCCTTTGAGCGCGATTCTTACCGAGTACCGGTGCGGTCGCGTGGAAGCCACAGCCGCGGAGTTCACTTCAGCGGGTGCGGCTTATCCGCAATGCAACGGTGCTTGGTAAAATGCGCACACAACGGGACTGACCCGCCGCGATCAACATTTTAAGAAGCAGAAATATTGCCGCCGCGCGTTTAGGGGAAAACTCATTTTCAAATCGCTATGGTGCAAGCACGCGAATGATGTATTTAAAAAGTAAAGGTCACTTCGTTAAGGTTGATATCTACATTGCAGTAAAGATTTTGAGAATGTGTTTAGTGATAGCCTGGCAACCTGTGTTATGTATTAAAGAGTCGGTATTTGCATATACAAAGGTTGTCTAAAACATACATCCTTGATTTAAATACAACTGGGCATTTTCATAGGGTCAATGTTATGCTAAATGTACCTTTTGTTTCTCATTCCACTCAATGCATTGGACTTTCGGAGGCCAAAGCCAATAAATATATATAGATTAAATTGACTTAGCTTAGAAATGAATAACTGGAAGCTTGGTAAGAACCTCTGCAAGCTGAGCTGGTTGTTCGTTTAAGCATATTGCAGTAGTAAAATGCTTAAGAGAAACTATTCTGGCTTCGATTGGAAAATATTCGTCCAAGTCCACGATTCGCTTCGATATTGCTTCGCGTTCTAAGTTCACTGTTCGCACAAAGCTAATTTTATCACATTTTCATTTTAAAACCCATGAAATTTACCAGCAGTATTGAATTGATGCATAATTATGCACCAACTTAAATATTTCAGCTAAATATACCGATGAACTGCGTGCTGTTCAGTTCAATTGAACTTAAGTGTACTACATTCAGTGGACATTTTCGTCACATCCGAGCTCTAACAATGTCATAAAAAAACGCACAGGTTTTTGAAACCATTTTGCGTTTTCCGACTTTAATTGTGGATATATGAAATATTTACCTCTTTGTTATATCGTTTTGGGGATAAGGCAATCTAGAAATTTTGTTTCCTCTATAATTGCAGCGTCGGACATACGCACTCATTATCTAGGCGAAGGCACCAGGCTTTTAGGAAAGATAAGCAAGGATATCATTTTTATTCCTTTTACGGGCTAACTTTCGTGAACACTATGGAATCCTCAAAAGTTAGCCCATCAATGTTATTCCACGAAAGTAAAAACACGAAACTTTAGTGTTTTTTTTATTCAAAGAGAAATGTTCTAGAACCGTTCACTCTAAAAAGTTTTACATTTTACGGAAAATATAATAGCACGACTGGTTGAGAAATATGTTTCCGTATCCACAAAATTCTCAAATAAAAACAGCCACTTTTTTCACTGCTGAACAGAAAAGAGTACAGGGGATGAAGAAATATCGGGTACTTTTTCCCACCAAGAAGCTATTTCTCAACGTACATCGAAACCTAAATTAGTGTTCGTCTCAAGAGCTGAAGGAAACAAGAATTGGCGGTACACTCTAGAAAGGCTATAGCGACTAATCTACCCGCCAAGCACTTGGGAGGCCTAGCGCTGCAACTTACGAAGATAGTCGGCTAATGACGAGGCTGATTTGTTTATAACTAAGATAGTCTTGACTGCGGCAGTAAGCAAACTGAAACCACAAGCTCAGTTCCCGGTGCAGACTGTATTTTCATGTCTAAACGTATTATCACCTAGCAACGTCATTTTCTGAGCCACCTTCATATATATACATACCAGCGATTGGCCCTCCCAATTGTTTACAGCAGAGTAATCAGCCCAACATTTTTGTAGGTTATGTTTTTTTACACTCCCTACTTGGCCGGATATAAAAAAATGCAATACACTTCTACATTCAAATATTATAAATAACATCGCTCAATGCCCTCAGTCCTTTAGTTTGAAGATTGCATACATTAAAAACATTGTAGAATTAAAAATAGTACAATTCACTATGTTGCAGCAAAATCAGCCTCAGGTGGGAATGTTTCAAAAAGTCAACTTTATGTTTCATTACTTTGACACAGTGCTAGTCAGCAGAACTAAATTTGCTTTGCTATTTTGAGCATTGTTACTGCAGATCGGGGCACTGTCCAATTGGCAGAATGCTCCCCCCCCTGATTTCAGCAATAACAAAGTTCAATAGGGAAGGTTGGGAGGGGGTCACAACATCGTTAATATATATCATGTTACAAATGTTGATGGATAAAGCAGTAGTGTTCTTGTCCTTCATTTATTTTTTCGCAATTTTTTTCTTCTTATTGGCTTGCTGGCTTGCTGTGTGTTCTAAACTACTGTTGTTTTGATTCCTACTGTTTCTTTATCTCCGATATTAATCCTATGTAGGGAATCGACGACCCTGTCAAGCTGTGTAATTACAGATTTTCTTCTCTAGCTCCACTATTATTGTTGAAGACAATTTATGAAATATTATTATTGTTATAACCTTCCGTCGCCATGGTAATGTTAATCCGCCTGGATGTTCAAGAAACACTAAACTTGGAAAGAATTTTTTTTTTCAAGTGCCCTGATTTGTTATGTAACAAATACTCCGCGAGTAAAGTTAGGCAAATTTTTACATCGCGCGGCTTGATTTAATTTTTAAAGCGGAGTAATTTGAAAAAAAATTATTTTATTTAGAAATGAGCATTGGAAAGACCGCGCGAGTCACACAAATCGTTTGCACTTTGAAGAGATCAGACAGATCGTGTCCTTTAAGAATCAAGGTGAGACTTTTGTATTAAAGCTGCCGACATGGGTCCTTCTGTGTATTCAACGTTCAGGACAGTAGCGAACCTGAATAAAATGTAACAAATTAAGAGCGTGAATTCGCAACCTGCGGCGGCAGTCTGCAAATGAAGGATGTGTGGGTGTTGCAACAGACTGGCGACGGCAGCGACTCTTGACATATAACCGAAGTAGTTCGATAAAGAGCATTTCTTGTTGTTTTGTGTTCATGCATTGCTTTTTTATAAAAAATAGCATATTGCAATAATGCATTGCGTTGAAAGAGGTTTTCACATAATTTGACTCAAACGGGTAGTCTGCTATCAGAAATCAGAGTCTGCGTTTTGCTTATTAGCTGCACAATCTGTCGGATTTTTGCGCCAGTCAGACACTTTTCGTTAGTAGACCGAATTCACCGATACTGAAGTGAATATATATATATATATATATATATATATATATATGTTATTTTTTTTTTACTTTCTGCACAGCTCAGCACATTATTTAAAGGTTTCACATAAAAAGGACACAATTTGTGCCTTCTCCTTGGTGACTAGATTTTTGCTTGTTTTTGTCCCAAGTGTTAATTAAAAACGGAGCGTGTTTGTAAGTTGCATTCTACACACGAAAGAATAAAAAAATACGCCAAAGCGCGCAATATGACATCCCAGTGTGTACTGCAATACCTTCTTCATGAAGTGGCTGTAGCGCTAAATATTATGATCATCGCACTCTTTGATGTTTACGGTTGAACTAAAAATACATTTTGAGCTTGTTTTGTTTAGGTAAATGAATTAATTTTCTTAGTTTCATTCAATATTTTTTTTTTACGCGCATGGGTACCGAACCTCGTCAAAGCAATTATGTTTTGTTTCATGTTTAACAACAAGCTGACGCTAAGGTAGTGTGTCATTCTTACGGAAGATCATTGTTGTGTTTCCTTTGTACCTGCTGTTAATATGTGTAGCTGGTTTTATCCGTTTGTTTGGTGTCTTCGGCCCAAATAATTGGTTGGAGATGTTCTAGTTTAATTTTAAGTTGAAGTTCTTATTGCATGGGGAAGAGTGGCAATTGTATATTTTCTTCTGAACCAAGAGCACCGTGTCCCCTCCCCCCCCCCCCCCCCGAACCCTCAAAAGAAAGTACAGTGTTGTTTTTTTAAAGCTAAAATATGAACGCGAAATAAAACGCTCATTACCCGTAAAATTTAAAGCTACAGGGACGATACCGGTGCTAGAGCTTAAACGCAACGCTTTATCTTATAAACGAAAAAAAAAAACTATTTGAAGAAACGTTCAATCCCCAAAACATTTGGCGCCATCTATTCATCCCCATGTTTTCATGGTCTTTTTCTGTCACCATTTACCTTGTGAAACAATAAGAAAATATCTTGTAACCTTTGATTAAGATGAAGGTTAGTAGTGAAAACTTTGGCATCGGGTGCAGTGTATTTCATCGGTGAAAAGAATACAGTATTTTTTTTCAGGGTCAACGACTCTATAGCATTTACTCGTCCTTCAGTGTTAACATTAATTTTAACCTTCACAGGAGCTTGTGACTTCTCGATCGATCTGTGTGGTCTGACATCCGCTGATCCGGATGCAAGGTACACGTGGAACCGAACATCGGCTCAAGACGTAACCAAGAATCCATCGAGTGATGTTGGGTTGCCGAAAACGGACAGCAACCAAGATCCCCAAGGATTCTATTGTGCCTATAGGGAAACAAATCAAGGTGACGTGTGGATCGATTAATAAAAAAATAATACTTGCGGCACTTTCGCTAGTCTTTAAGGTATTCTCGTAGATCGTTTACGTCGTCCCGTAACGCTGTCCGAAACCCGCTACGATACCCGGAACTCAACAGTCAAGGTCGTTGGCGCGCAGTTGTTGTAGCGGATTCTTTGTTGCGGAGGGCTTAGTGGAGGGAGAAACGCGGTCTACGAAAACTTTCGATTGCCATTATAATTTGACGAATGCAAAATTAACTTCTATTGGGCATAGTTGTATGCTGTTTATCTTGGGCGCCAACTTTGCTTCGTATGGGTATTGATTGTTTAATAAAACTGTCCTTCAATACAACGAAATATTGAGGAATTGCGCGTTATTTCCCGGCACTTCGGGGCGCATATTGAAGTAGCTGGGGCAATGAACGTTATTCTCAGGCGACAGGGAAGATGTTAACGTTGCATGTAGGAAACTTTTGTAGGATGTCATTACTGGCTGGCTGATATTTTTTGTCAAAATTATTAGAGAAGCTTCAGCATAATTTCAAAGCATTAAAAAAAGAGAGGTTCGTTGGACTCGCACGAAACATCTCGCCCGTTTATATTATTTGTGCATGTATTGAGTACCAAATTAGGGCAAATATTTAATTTGCTAACATTGTCTCGAGTCTAATACCCTGCTAGAATATAGGCCACTGATCGATAAGCTGAAGCTCTGGTTTTTGAAACTTTTTAAAATAATTTTTAAGTTGACACGCCCGTCTTGGTCCTGTGTTAGCAGAGGCTCCTCAAAGTATTTGAACTATTACTGTTTTGCCTTTGCAGATGATCCACAGGGATTGATGAACGCCTTGTTGACACCAAGGTTTGGTGAAATTGCACACCCATGTACCGTCAGCTTTTATGCTTTCATCAGTAAACGTGAGTTTGGCCCTGTAGTTATGGACGCGTACGAGTTCATAATATTTTAGTTAGCTCTCAAACACCAGTCAGACATACTTTTTGCCGCTATCAGTTTAGAAAGGATTTCAGCATTCCAGTTCATGGCGTAACTTAGCTCAAGTTACACCAACATGTTGTTAGCTCGCTGTAGAGAGTACACTGTATTGTCAGTGTACGCTTTTTGTTTCACAATACTGAGTCCTTCAATACGGACGGCAATTTTATCCCAACTACCATGAATTCAACAAAAAGAAGCGTAGTGTAATAAATATAACAATATTGAACAATATTGCACTATCTGGAGGGAGTTGGTGATGCATGGCGAACCAAAAGCAGCGCAAAGCAAGGGCACAGACGAGTGGAAGAACTGCACGAAACCAGGCGCCGACTTATAACTAATAACTAAACTCATCAGAAAAACCCACGTAACGGCAGAACCAGAAACAACAAGCTACACCTTTGTTATGGACCAGTCTTGGTTCATTGAGACAGGTGTAAGTGCGTTCTGCAGTTTACTAACGCGAAAGGCATGACGCAGCACGCAGACTGGAAGACGAGATAGGTTTTGGAGCCGTCCTACACTTCATAAAGCGAGGAAAGGGCGTCAACCAGTCCACCATTGATTGCAAATCCGAATACACAATGAACATCACTGTGAAGCATTTTATTTATAACATCGGAGTAGTTATTTTTGGGGGGTGGTAGTGAAGGTTCGTGATTTTTTATTAAAGGGGATAAGCTTCGGAGGTTTTTTGAGCAACAGAAACTGAACTCACTTTCAGAATACCATGACACATTTCTTTAACGAGATAGCTTTAGGAGCTCGTGTCGCAGAAAAGACGTCGTCAAAGGCGTCGCGACGGGAAAATCTTAATTAGTAGCAAGGGGCGTAATTTCATAACCACATTACCTCGCGTGGCAATATCAAACAGCCCGCAAAACCCTCGCAAAACGCCACGTCACACGTGGAATGAAATTGATTAAAAAATGACATGTTTAAAACGATTTTACTTTTTGAATTAGTTCAATAGTCTTAAAGAAAAGATTCAGGAATTTTAGTCGGGATCCAAACCCACGACCTTTCAGTGGCGACTGGAACAGTCTACTGACTAACCCACGCAGAGCAACTTGCATGGCTGGGGAACTAGCGACAGTTTATATATGGTATTTAGCTATTGCGTACTACTCTTAAAAGGCGAATCTTAAGCGTCCTCCAAGTTTATTATCTCTAAATATAAACTGCCTCTTGAGAAAACGAAAAATGAAGGCGATGCCAAAAAAACATTCAAATTTTCCAGTCATTTCCAATAGGGTAACATCGTATATTGTATATCTGACGGTCGAGAAGGCAGTTAAAAACACAGTATTTGTGCCTTTTTCGTTTTGTGAATATGTAAATTTTCAGCAGTCATTTCACGCCGTCAAACTTCTTGTAACACTTCGGAAAGAGGCTATACTTTTCCCAGTTTGGAACATTTCACGTTACATTTTTGTACTGCCAGTAAAAACATCTCAGCCTCTCCGGCACAACTTCAAGACTCGGTGCCTGCGAGAAAAAAATATTGTGACTTGTAATTTGGGGTACCAATTCAGTTATATACACGGTGTTGTTTTCTTAGCTTCACACATATGTTATATAAAAGTCGTGAAAGGTACACTCTGCGGTTTGTGCACGTGAGTTAAATGTCCAGGGAAGAATAAATGGGTGGCTAATCTTTACAAAAAGTCGGCTAATTAATTTTAAAAACTTATTAATATTTTAATTTGTTAAAATATAAATATATTTGCATTTAGAAACTTAGAAAGCGTCATCGAAAACCACAAGATCAACTCTTTTTAGTCTACAACGACTTGAAGCTCGTGGGAAATTCGGGGGCGCCCAAAAATCACTACTGGTGCAGCAGGCGCAAAGCTAGCAGTGGCAAAACGCGGATGATTAGATTATCATCGCGTTCCGCCACTACTACTTTTGCGCCTGCTGCGCGTGTGATAACTTTGGTTTTGCCTCCGAGCTTCCCATGTGATTTAACTTGTTCTAAAAATAGTTTTTGTAGTGGTTTTCGATGACGCTCAGTAAGTTTCTAATTAGAACCATATGTCTAATTTTACTTACCAAAAAGTTATCTAACGAATCTTAAATAACTTCTCGACTAATTGCAAAGATTAGCCACCCACAAAATATCCCCCTGGCCATATACCACCTAGAGAATCCGCATAAGTGTGACTTTCACGGCTTTTATTAAACAAATCTGTAAAGGTGGAAATCGAAAACACCCAATATATATAAAGGTGTAATAGGGTGAAGACTTTGGCGTGTTGGTTCCGGATATTCAATAATTAAAAACTACGCGAACAAGGCGAAGGACAAGAGGAGAATTAAACAGACAGAGTGCTGTCTTTGTTCGTGTCCTCTCGTCCTTTGTTTTGTTCTCGCTGTTTTTAGTTCTTCAATTTAAAGGCGTCATTAAGTTATTGCAGGATATCTTATGTACACATTGTTTATTGGACACATTTATAGCACGTTTTACAAAGGGGACTTGTTTAAATAAGATGAGGAAATAGGTTATGTAAACTTTGACATTTCTGCAGAGTGGAGTATATGACCTAAAAAAGTGTGAATATATTCACATTGAACTGAAGCGGGTGTCGTTTGAAGAATATATTTATTTCTTAGCCCCTGCGTGGCTGTGGTTTGGAGTGCAGCGAAGCACCAAGTATGGAAGTGTTTTCCGAAAGCGCTTCGCCTTGCTCAAGGGGAGCGAGAGTAGCCACGCGTGGACCAAGATGACAGCCAAAGTTGGAAATTGGAATCCCGGCTCCAGAGTAAGCTTTTTTTGTAACTTTTAGATAAATTGAAGTCTAAAAGGGTCGAACTAGTCTTAGGAACGTGTGTGTGTGTGTGAAATATTTTAATAGTTTAGGTTTGTAAAATGTATGTTCATATTGTATAAAAATATTGTTTCCTAACATTCTATGAATTCCTTTTCGCACATCCTGAATTCCCTAGCTCGACAAAGTGAGGTTTTTAGAAAACGAAATTAGGAGCAAGGGGAAGTTAATGCACCAGCAGATTGTTTTTTTTTATTTTGTACTGGCGTGTTTCTGTATGGTCGTTTCACCATAGACATTATTTTATGAAAAAATGTAATGCAATAGAAATCAGACACCTTCCAACAATGCCTAGAACATGATTACCTTAGTTTAGTTATTCACATCACTTTCAAACATTTAGTGCACGTGTCGGGCAAAAGCTCTTAACCTAATAACCTTATGCTATTGTGGTATTTCATATACTTTTAAGATCGCAAAACAAAATGCATTAAGAGTATGAATAAAAATAAATTATTTAAGACGTGGATAATAAATTCACAGTTCTTGTCTATTCTTCTGCGTACATCATTGCTCTTCCTAGAAACCGGTGCCTATTTTTTTATAAACCTTAAATCTTTGATTGTGTCTCATTTCGAAATCTTTCAAAAACCTTCACTTACGTTTTATATCCACGTGCTCTGTGGCTACGTGTACATGGATGCAACAGCAGCGCATCGGATCCAGTTAGCAAATCGGATCCACTTCAACCACTACGTTTAAATGGATTCGGGTCGACCAGTAGCGGAACCTCGTGTCGAAGGATCACAACGCAAACCTCGTGACCTTCAGATTGTTTCCGAGGTGTCCGGTTTGCCTAGCGGCATGCAAAGAAAAGCTCCCGTAATCCCTCGCTCGAGGACTCAATCCGATCCGCTAGCCTATACATTTATAGTCTCGATTCGGATTGACTATCTCAAACCACCCGGTCCCAGCGGATCAGATCGGATCGGATCCGATCCGATCCGAGTTGTTTACATGGACCGATTCAATTCGTTAACTGGATCCGATGCACTGCAGTGGCATCCATGTAAACTTAGCCTGTGACTCTCCTGAGACTTTCCTGGGCCATGAGGATATAGAAACGAATAAATAAATAAATAAAGAAATACGCGTATAAAGCTTCGTGTATTCTTGGTTGTTTGTAAAGTAACTTGAGATCCGCACCGCCTCCCAGCCGCAACCTAATTAACCTGTATATTCTCGAGGTTACAATATGCCTCTCAAATACGCGATCAACATTAGCGCGTATGTAGCAAAACGCTCTAAACCCAGAACGACATCATAAAAAAACAGCTCGCAAGAATATGAAAGGCCCAATCGTCTAAGCAGTTGATAAGGAAGTCATGAGCACATATTAACTTTAAACACTTTTTCTGAGGGGGGGAGCAAGAGTGCAACAGAAGGTTATTTATTTCCTCACCCTAAGTAATGACGGCTCAGTTGGCGTCGTCGAATGCTTATTTTTTTATCGTGAAACATCTTAATTGCGCACGACATAAACGCTAAGCATGCTATTTCCCTATTAGCCCCTCATGCAGGAAGCAATAAGTTTTTAATGCTAGAACCTGTCCTAAAATCAATCAACAAACTTGGTGCGTACACGTAACAGTGGGAGTTTCCTCAAGAGGGTATTTCAGGGATAGAATTTACTTTGTAAAATTTCAACATGAAGCTCATTTCCCCTGCCGATAGACCAGCGCCACTTGATACGGTACAATGCGAATCCCAAGAAAGGTGACCCAATTAGTCGAGGGTAGAGCCGCATATCGAGGAAGTTTGGTCAATGGGAGGTGCTGCAGAGCCAGGGCGTGCACCAGACGCAGAACGAGGGTTCGACATGCTTTCTTGGCCAACCAGAAGCCGACAAGAATCCTCTAGCGGTGGTAGGTAGAAACAGCTTTAATAATATAAATAAATATATGGTTTAATAGGTTCGTAAGGGTTAAATGTAGAAACTCATCCTTGTTGAAAATAAGGTGCACCTGATGTTTCGAACATCATCATTCAAAACGATGTAAGGAACAAATGTGCCGCTCGAGCACTTTTTAGCTCGGACAAAGGGTGACCTCTCGGACTGCAGATTCCCGGCCTTCGGCGTCTGGCGTACAGATTATGTCGATCGTTCCGCTGGTTCCGCTCTTCCACCATGATCTTGAATGACCGTGATTGAAACATCACGTGAGACATATTTTCAGTCACCGAGGGTGACACCGACGCTCTCATTATTTTCGTTTCTCGCGACCATTGTCAGTGTTTCTTTCCGGCTCCTAATTGACCACATTCGAATAAGCGAAGATGCCCTGGAACACGCCCAGCCCGCTTTTGACAAATTTCCCCTTCTCATTTATCCTTTATACTTCCCAATGAATGTCCAAACTCTCTACATATACGGCTCTGGTCGAGAGTTATGGACCCGGCGCCGTTTCCCGATAGGCGCGGAGAGCAGTCTACGCGCTCAACCGAATGTACATGGCGCCGTCGTCTGGTTGCTGGGATGGCATCGCGCACACATGCGTTTGATTTCAACTGAGCAAGTCATGCAGCCTCGTACTCCTTTGTAACAAAAGAACACAGCGACACGCTGGCGCCATCTATTAAAAAGAGCTTGAGGTGCATTTAACTAGAATGAAGCGTTTACAGTACTTAAGAATTTAAATGTACATACTATCTTCTAGAAATGGTCGTTGATAGCATTCTCGAATGCTTTTCAAGCCCACGGCGAACAAAATTATGGCCAAAATAATAGAAAGTATTAGAAAAGCCGAACTGTTGCAGTGCGTGGATGGAGCCAGTGATTTCTCTCATCGTAATTGGTCATTTTTATAGTAAGCTACCTATTCAGTGCTTAATTTAATTACGTTTTAAGTCATTACCCTTTATATAAGTGGAGATGCAATAATTGTATAATATACAAACATGGCAGAAATAGTACCAATAGAAACGAATAATAAAAACGTAGAATTATTTGATGTAGTAGGTGGCAAGTGTTCCCCACATTTTGAAATATAATAGCGAGTTCGTTTCACGGCACTCGTGCCCACGCGTGCCCACTCGCAGCGTGGAACGGGTTTTTCGGCCGGCACTCCACGAGTGGTTGCACTCTCCGAGTTCGTTTCAGCGCTGACACCCCACGCGTGCATGCACTCACTGCACCGAGAAAATCGGAAGTGCGCCAAAGTGCAATCCCGTCATGCCTCGCTGCGGTGCGGCCGGCGAGGAGCGGGAGCAGACGACGAGGGTTCGTCTGCTACGATGGTGCGCGGAACCGAACGGAAAAAAAAAAGTAGATTTTCTGATAGAAATCGCGTCCCGCGGACAAAGAAATGAAACGCGAGCTTGAATTGTGAGCGTCTGCTTTTCACGAAGGAAGCAATTGACAACCCGTGATTTATTTGCAGGTTTTAAATCGCTCTGTTGCCGTACAAACACTGAAATATACCAGTGTGTAAAGAAATGCTCAGAACAAACGCAACAGCGGCCACCGAGATGTCTATCACCATCCGTGTGCGGGTGAAAAATTTAACATTTGTCGACAAAACTCCCTCAGCAGAAACCTCTGACTGCCAAATAAGCATCAGAGAAAGCTAAAGATGGAGACTTTATTTGAGGATTGGGCAACATCATCATGTTTAACATTTACCTACGCCAGCTAACTTGCCCCGTCGTATTTTGTTCGAGAAAGTTCTCGTTCTCGACGTCCTCTCCAAGGCTAATGTCTAATCCACCTATAATGTTGATCCAAATCGAAAGTACCAGTTTTGCTGGATATTCCAACAGGCTAGTATTAAGCCGTACTCTTTCAGTGGTTCACGCGTAATACCATGCTCAAACGGATCAAGCTTCTGCTCGGACAGCATCACCAGCTTTCTTCAGTGTAAACGGTTATAAGAATAGAAAGATCGCAACCAGCTGCTTTGTAGACAGCTGGTTGCGGAAATTTACGCCGTCTGTAATTATCTCTACGGCAGCCTAGCTGCTTGAAGTCATCGCAACTATAAACTACAGGTTTATCTATAAACCAACGTTTATAGATAAACGTTGGTAGCGACTGCATTCTCGCATTCCCACGCATCACTCCGAACAGAAAGGCGCTAGTTTCGGTTAGAAGTCGGTACCTTTTCTACAACATAGATGGCGGCAGCATCAGTCTTCTGCACTCGGTGCATTTGGCGAGTTTGTAGAGTTGGTCGTGGTTTGAGTCCAGCTTTTTGTGCAACACTCTGTGAGTGCGATGCATTCTGGGAGAGAACTCGAATGGTGCCAGTGCGTGTGAAACGAACTCGCTATAAATATAAGATATTGTGTCTATTGAATCTGGCTGATTCTTCTAATTTTAGATAAAAAACCGATAGGAAAAAAATTTAAAGCTATTGGTCGCAGGAATAAACGGAAGTAGTTTGGAAGTGTTTGGTTTAATATACAGTGTTGGCTTTTTTCAGTTTTACTTTATTACCGACGGAACACACACCAGTATCGACGCCATTGAATACCGCGGCTGCCATCCAGACAGAAGCAGCGACTCCTGTAAGTTATAGTAATGATATTTATTATTTGCTAGACACATTCCCTCCACATTGTTTGCTTTTGAGCTAAGATTCTGAAATCTCTTGGTGACGGTCTCAGTTGTGAGTGAGCGCTCTCTCTTTCCTGTTTTCTCTTCCTTACCTTAATTGCGCTGTTTACTTCAACACACAAGGTTCCTCTAAAAAAACAAAAAAAAAAAACACACACACACATACACTGTTTTTTAACCATAAATATAAACGCATCGTCAAATGGTTATTTAAAAAAAAAAAAAACATATAGCGTTAGCAGACCGGATGACACGTCAAGGTTTTAAAGCTGGCCGTTGGCTACTTCGTGATATATAAGTGATTTTCGAAATTTCCTTATAAGAAAACGGCGGTTACCAAGGCAGACGAGTACGTGCGGATAAATGGCGTCACATTCTGGGAATCAACCCTATTTCCTCATTTAAAGTTTCTTCAAATCACTTCCAACTCTTCCAAATAAGGTACCGGTAAGTACCGTACCTTTGCCATCTGGTCCGAACTGCTTGCGCTACAGTTGGGTTGAGAGTGAGCGTTGGGTAATGCGTCGTTTGTTTTCGTTGTTAGAAAAATAATATATTGCTTTAGGGATGCACTTTGTGATGTCTAAAAAAATAGCCTGACCATTTGTTTTTTCTGAAATTGTGGGCTCACTTCTCTAATCATAATAATAAAAAAATTACTTCAATCCCGGCATCCCTCTTTGTTTCTGATTCACATCTAGTCTTACCCCGACCAACTCTAAGATCGGATAGAGCAAATCAAACAACGTCAAAATTACATCGTCACGGTGCTCTTCCCATTTCTGCGTTTGCTAAAACCTGGCGGACTGATCACACACGGCGAATGATTTGCGAACCGTTGCTACATTCTATATGCGATTGGCTTAGCCAGTAAACACACAAAGGCATGCAGCGCCTTGACAATTCAATTCTGGTGTTGCTCGATCATATGTATCGGTTTGTAGCTTCGGCAGCAGTCGGACTAAAGGAAAAACGAGGATACCTATTTTTTTATTTAAATAGTTCTGGTGGTGCGTGTCATCGTCCTGTGCAGCGGAGGGTTACAGTTTGTTTCAAGTCACAAAGAGGCCTAGAATCGACTGGTCTATGGCTTTGAATCTCGCGGTACTGCACAATAACAATTACTTTTCTGTTTTCTAAACTTATTTGGGTGTTAACTACCGCTAGCTGTGATACCAAATAAAGAATTTACCCTTCAAAGCACGCATATGTACGTATCGCTATGCAGCTGTTGATGCGTTTTCTCAATGTAAGTGTCTTTTATAATTTATTTTAGGTATTTCGATGGGCATGAATATTTTTCTAGGGTAGTGGCTTCGGTATGTTACGTAATTTAATATTTGTTGTCATGAATAGCAACCTAATTTGATAAGCTTCACCCGTAACTAAAGAGATCTGAGAGGAACATCTGATGAACTAAACCCTGAGACTATAGAGAAAGACGACTAAGAAGGAGAGGAAGAAGAAGAGCTTTTGGCATCTTTTTTCCTAGTCTCAACGTTTCAGTTCATCACGTTCAATCATCAGCAGTTCGTTTGCGCCCTCAATTTCTGCTCGTCAACATCGCTTTGTTGGTTGAATCGACGCAGCAAAGTTACAAGACAAAACCAAAGACTGCTACAAGATTATTTTAACGAGTGTCTTGCTAGGAGCACTTGTGAAGGTTCAACCCATGGGGGAATCGCCAAAAGCATATAGTGAACTAAAATGGTTACTCAAAAGCTAATACTTTCCCCTATAGCAATCAGCTTGGACTGCTTGGAAAATAAACGAGTGATGAAATGAATTCACCAACCTTATTTAAGGCCTGAAAAATTACACAAAAATATCCAGATCCCTTCAACCGTTAAATAATAAAGAGTTAATATAAGTAAGAGTGGTCCCATTTGTAAGGTGATGACTCTAGTAGTATATCCGAGCAAGTTTGTATCGAGGAGAAAAGTGTGCCGGACCGCCACCAAAACCTTCACAAGCAAAACAAAAACAAAAACGAAACATTTGTCGGCCGTCAATTAAGTTGGGGTTGTTCACCTGGCATCACCAGCGTGAACTACGTCACATGACGCCTTGAAGTCACGTTGTCACTTTACGCTTTGTTATGCGACGTAACATCACCTGACATCTTGACACACGGCACCGTGACGACATATGCTTGGATGGTTGAACGTCACATTCTTGGTCGTGTGGTTGGCGGAACGTCACATAGTCACACGACACCAACCACTTTAACGTGACAAATACAACGGCGTCACGTGATTTGACATCACACTCTGGTGTCACGCAATATCACTTTGAATATATGCTGGAACTCTCCTTCAAGCTTCTTTAGCGTAACTGCTTGTTTTTCTTTTAGACACTTGTGGTCCGAACTTCGATTGTAATGCGTAGTTGAGCTCCTGCATTTCACACTTTCACAAATTGAGAGATAATTGTGGGGGCCGGAGACGCAGAAGTAGACTGGAGCGGGAGTTTGAGGTAACATTCATTGCGATAATACAGAATGTACTCGACGAAAAAAAAAACGAAAAAAACGTGATTTACTGTTTGGGTAAATAAACTCTGCGTGGCAGAAATATAAAACTAAGCGATAATATGATGCTAGAGGTTGGGATAGGACGCGATATTTTTACATTATATTACTGGGATCGAAATGTAATTGAGAGAAAATAAATTTTCCTATAAGCTGACGACCACCTGAGCCTAATGTTGTCAAAACAAGACATGACATCTTGGCACCTGTAACATCTGTTTCAATAAAACAAAAAAAAAAAAAGCTTGTCACCAAGAAAGAAAACAAAGCCCTACCACTTTCTTGGTGACTAGCGTTTTCCACTGTTATAAATCTCACGAGGGCCCACAGTTTCGAGTTATGTTTTTACAATATTGGGCAGGCGTGGATGTGGGCTCCTAGATGCTTTTATTTTTTCGAAATTTTTTTTGATCCAGGTAACATCCTGGTCTCAAACGTTCGCGCTATATACCAACCGCCAGCGTCACATTCTGGAGCATTTGATATTTTTGGGATGCATAGTTTATTTATTGGGCCCTGAAAAACAGCGCGTCCTCGCTTCTCGGGCACATTATGTGAACATCATGTCACACCCTGACGTCACGCTGCCACATGATGGCGTGTCCTTGTCACGTTAACCTGGGTGTCTCTACCTGAGTCAATATGAACTGCATTTCTTTTTAAATTTGGCAATATTCGGGTTTTTTACCTGTTTTTGTTTTCTCACCAGACGAGGAGGACTTGTTGGTCAGCTGTTCCTTTGAGCTCGAAGACAAGTGTGGGTGGTTCCCAGAGAATGAAGTGACCGAGCTTGACTGGGTCAAGTACACTGGTGGGAAACCCATCCGCAGCTGGCAGCCTCCTTCCGTAGATGTGGGTCACTCAGGTACAGTCTATTCTTATATTGAAGAAGTATACAAGATACGAGTTTGCGAATACGAAATACAAAATCCAAATGTATGCAAGAAGTTCACTTTAAATTATTGCGTATACAAATAAATTTAATTGGAGGAAAGACGTTAGGGTTTTGGAATTTTCCTTTTATGTCTTGAAGTTCATAATTGGACACAAAGAACTATAATTAGGCACAAACCGCCCGAAATTGCTTATTGTTTATATGCAGAAAAGTTTGCTTTAAGTTAAATTAAGCTCTAAAACTGCATGAAGCGTTGTTACAATTAACTGGTCGTATATGGAATTTAATCGTTAAACGTAGCACAATTAAACAGCGAAGCTGTGTATGGCTACAGTTTTGTGAATTTTCCGTGTGCTAACCAAACACTTACACTTGCACTGGCACACGCCCACGCCTTCTTTGTACAAAAGATTCCAAGTAAATAACCAAAATAAAGCATTGACAAACGCGCGTGCAAAGTGCCATTTTTTTTAGACATTTGCTTTAGAAAAGTTAATATTGCTGAGGCCAGCACGTTCGGCGCGGGGTAATTTTGTAATAGGTCTGCTCAGTAGGTTAGTGGTACAAAAGCACCATTGTCATGATCAGTAGACTCTCAGGTAGATATTAAGGGTTTCTCAAAGATTTGCCACTGTGCGACCCGCGTCGGCCATGTCTACGCTCGCACCGCCCTCTCTTTGTCGTCATTCCAAGTGCTTGCGTGTTTAGTTTTTTTGTTCTCCCGGGATGGCGGTCCCGTCGCGCGTGTCTACTGTACTTTCCTCCAGCTCCTCAGGGCGGGTCTGTGTCGTGTGCTAAGGAGATTGGCTGACCATCCACCTTTACGGTGTGGAATGGCTCATGATTTGTTTAGAGTTATTAAAGCTTAAACAAACGTTTACCCAACCAAGACTCGTACTGTGATTTACGACCCAAACACCTGTGGTTTTAGCTGCGGTCACATGTTGTATTCATTTGGCCAATGGACGTGAAGAGGCAGCCGGGAAGCATTGTTGTGTTAGCGAAACTGGGTGTTGGATTTTAATCCGAACAGATTCATTTAAAGAAATTGTGCAAGGTACACTAATTTTGGCCTGAGTAGGTGAGTTATACGGCCGAGGGACATGATATAAGGCAGGAGTCGGCAATGCGTAGCAGAAACAGGCTGAGTTGTCACAAAGCTGACAAGAACGGGGCAAACGGCAAGTCGGCAAGAGTGAAGGCAAGAGAGGGAGAAAGGGGAGGCAGGTGAAGAAACGGAACGCAGGATGTGAAGTCGTGATCTGTACAAGTATGGCTATGCCGGGCAAGGCTAATCGGATATCATGCTTGTTGCGGTCTAAAGCCATTTGAGGTCCTTGAGTTTGTGTGGTCCGTGTGGTCCTTGAGTTTGTGTGAAAAAGTGGCCGGGGATGGAAAAGGGCGAAGGGGCTCTACTTGTGTCGTTCCGGCGGCCGCGTGTATTTGCTTCGCCGGTCACAATGGGGCCTCGGGCCGCGGGTTGCTGACCGCTGCAATAAGCGTTTTCTCGACAGGAGAATAAGTAGAAATAACTAAAATTTATCAATTAAAGTGATTAGGACAAAACACCAGTACCACACTCTTAGGGCCTAACTTATGTTCCTTTTTTTCCCTACTTTTTTATAATTCTCGATAGTTTTGTGAATAAATATTTAGTCCTAGGACCCTCACATCCACTCCCTTCGTGAAGGCTGCTATGTTTGGGGTGTTCGTGATTTTCTTAGCCCACCGACCCTGGCGGCGCGGCATCCCGTTGCATGCACTAGACACTTGGCTTACTCGGAGTCTCAAGCTTCAGCTTTCTTGCTCACCTTAGGCGTTTCGAAACGATGACGTATACTACATCACTGGCTTTGTCAGAGTCTTCAACACTAGCCGCATAAGCAATGATAGTAATTGCTGTCAAGAGATCACAAAAACTGATTTTTTTTTACCTCAACCCCTTGGCGACCAGCTCCAGCGGCGAGGACGCAACCGTCACTGACGAACTAACAGTCATCTGCGACGATCTCGCACAAAAGAGTACTCGACCGTGGATTGGTGCTCACACAAAATCATCGTATCCGAGAGGGTCCAAGCATCGCGCGCGAAATTTCGTTCCCTTGTTTCACGTCGAGTAGAATAATTCAGAACTTGTTTTATTCTCATAAAAAATTTCGGTATCCCGCAGCAAACAAACTTCGCGACATTTGAACTGCTTTTGCGTTGGGAACTACGCAAGCGTTCTTTTGACACCGAACCCATGGGATCGGAAAGGAACCCGGCGACCAGAGGGCGAAGGACCGAGCATAGCTTAGCGAGCCGACCTTTCGCACGTTCAAGTTCGGCTGAAAGTCAAATAACCATGTGGCACGAGTGATAGCAATGAGCGTTATGGTATCCCAGTAAAGTGAGTGCTTGCGATCGCAACCTACCGAGTTTGCGCGAACATGGCGTCATTTGTGAACCTAGGAGAAAGCGTTCAACTGCGCGATCATAGTCAAGTTGTTTATGCCAAACATGGTGTGACTCACTAGAGCAGTGATATCAGAATTCTGCCTGTGTTACCTGGTGGCCAAACCAGAACGATGAACATTCGTAAATTGATTACTTAGCTCTAACAGTCTCAATACATGGCGTACATTCTAGTTAGCTTATGTGCATTTCATTTCAAGAGTAATCTACCCCAATAAGCGCCGTGTCCTAACCTAGTTAGGTCTCTAAATTAGGATAATAAACATACTGCAATTATTAACTTGCTGAACGTCACAGACCTTTACTAAATCAACACAATACAGATAAGACTGAAGCGCCTGGAATGCATAGGTTTTCGATAAAGTAATAATTTCCACATCGTCCGTGTTTTTGCAGCGCACGCCTTGCGCCTGGTGCACGTGTGGTAACGTTCGTGGAACCCCAAGCTTCACACATACTTTCAGCGGATCAAAAATGTATTTGTTTAGGAGTTTTCGATGACGCTAAGCGAGTTTTTATTTGGAACCATATGTTCGTTTACCTAAATTTAAAACTAATTTACATTATTTAGTTAATTATTCTACTATCATGTCTATTACCTCCCCTTGTATGTCCGCGTCTGAGTATAATTCACATCCGGAGGCCGCATTTGTGCACCATTCACGGCGTTTTATTTTTAATATATTTGTTTGAATTATAGTGATAAGGTTGCGTTCAGAATTACTTTAGTTTTATGTTTTTTAAGCTAGTTTTAATTATGAAATACCAAATATTGTGTAGAAGAAGATACGCCCGGTAGCTACAAATATTTGTCAAGTTTGAATTTCTACAAAATCCTCTAGAGCTTTAAGAAATCATCTGTAGAAAGCGAACAATCTACAAAAAAAAATTAAATTATTTGCTTTCTTGTTTTCCTTGGTCTTCCTTGGTGAGGATACCCATTTTTGTAAGGCTCTGCGGAATTTCATTTTATCTTGTTATAACAGAGTTCTTTTTCTCCATACTATCGTAGTGCTCATTTTTATCCAAGGAGTGATATAAGCACCTATTTATAATGCGAGGAAAGGGTTACCTTGTGTTCTTCTGCCAACTAATCTAGTCACTAAAGGGGTAAGGCTTTTTTGACTATGGGTACGATTCCTTAAACGCGTCTCCTCCAGGGTTGTGTTTAGAGTCCTTGACCGCCCGTACATCGAAGGTGCGTCCCGAGGTGTAAACAAATCACGTCATAGTGGCCAGCGTGCCTTGATGTCGGACGTCGCGGTACTGACGGTTGGTCGTAGGCATTCAAGAAGAAAACAAATCCGGCAAATAAATCTGTCGCTATCACCATGTCCTCCCAACTTGTTGCTGCAAAATATTTCATGCACTGTGAGATGCCTCACCAACAATATGACATTTGTATGAGGTCATCGGGCGAAAATAGAGGAACCGCATTTAAGGACCGTGTAGGCACACTACTCAGCTGTAGGCGCGCTGGAGGCAGCATACTGTAGTGATGTGATTGCGCTGGCTGGTCCACTAACCTAATTCCACTTTAAAAATACCCAGAGCACGCTACAACACAAGATCGTAGCGATTGGCCCGTGCGAGTCTCGTTTGTTCCGGTGAATTAGTATCGTTGAGTGCGCTTCTCATTGCGCATTTCTGTAGTGCAGTAAAGCGACACAAAGATAATAGGCATCGCAATTTAGCGTGTCTTGCAGCGCGCACGCATCGCACCAGCGTACTAAGGAGAAAGCATTGGTCCAACGCGAGCCGTGGCATAAATTTTGAATACAAATTTTGCCTGTATTTATAAAAGACTGCAATATTCTCGTGGTATATTTTTTTTTCCGACTCAAGATTTCGCAAGGATGCTTCGGTATTGCAAGAAATATTTACGGGGTCTCTTCTGTAGGTTTATATTTTTGCAAACTCTTTTGTTTATTATCACTTTTTACAGGTGTAAGGAAATGAGAACCAAATTAGCGGGAGCAGTCAATAGAAGTTTAACGTCAGCGACTTCGGCGGCATTCTTTTTAAAACGGGCATACTATTATTCGTTCGGATGCCAGTTTTTGTTATGAAGTTCTACAAATAAAATGTCATTTGCGTTCATAAACAAAGAACAAAATAATTGTTCCATTAATATGAGGAATTGCAGTCCTTTTTAATGTCTCGCTGACTTTAAGGACATGTACATGTAGTTGCCTCAATTGATTGTATTCACACAGTAATTCAGGGTGAATTTGTACCTAAAATAACCATACGCAGTAGTTTGTGCTGTCATCTATCAGTCATACTGTTACTGTGCGCGGTGCTCCTACATCCAACTAAATAACTAGTTTCCTGTTTGACGAAATCACTCCTGCCTCGCAATTGATTCCCCCGAATGTACGTGGCACGTAACTGAAAAGAGAAATACACGCAGCCTTTTTAGTTGGACCAGCCAGCACTTCATTTTTAACGGAATATTTGCAGTGGAACGAATGAGAATGAACTGTGCAATCACGCTACAAACGTTGTTTTTGCTGCTGCAATCACAACGCCCCAAGTGTGAACTTGATGAGGCGCACATTGCGTTTTATAAGCTATTAGTGACAATAATCTTGCGTCTGGTGCCTACTTCCAGGCCCGTACATGTTCATCGCCAACCATCGGAACACAGAGGGCAGGGGTCACTTGGTGTCCAAGCGCCTACCTGCTTCGGGGGGCTTCGGCCATTGCTTCTCTTTCTGGTACAGCATGAGGCACCCCAACAGTGGAACGCTCAACCTCCTCACTCGTTCTGAGGACAACTCCACCGAACTGCTCTGGAGTCGGTCTGGACCTCAGGGAAGAAGTTGGCTCAGGGGATACGCGGATGCGTTTTCTACCACCTACACCAAAGTGAGTGTGAATTGCTTTCTTTTTATTTTAGGTTAAAAAGATAATTGCTATTTATGTACTAATAGAATTACTTGAGTCAATAAAATTTTGTATAATGAGTCGCACTTTTTCAGTAAAATTCACATTTCGACTCGGTGTATTATAAATAAAAAAATAATTGTTGGCATAAAAGGGTGCTGGAAAAATATACGTAGAAAAAAATCCTTGATAATGTTTCCAGCACCACTAAAACAAAATAACAGCTGGCGAAAGTATTTTGTCTTAATATAAACCAAATTTTAACATATAAATATAATCCCCTATTTTTAAGTAGAGTTTTCAGAAAAATGACTGCAAAATTACGAGTGTACAGAACACACTTCGTTTTTGCAGACAATCTTGACCGCACTCAAAAAATACCTAATGATTCCGACAAAGTAACTGAAAATTTTATTTAAAGTGTTTATTTAGTGAGGGCTAACTGCCTTCAAATGTAACATATGTGGTCATATAGGTGTTTGTGACCGTTAGGCTTGGATTCCTATCAAAACTACCATAGACATTAAGTACAAAACGAGCGTGATGGTAAATAATATCAGCCACGAGGAAGGCAACACAGAGAATGAGAGGGACAACAATGACTTCCGTCAAACGCTGAGGTCGGTTTCTTAGGACGAGACACATGAGCTCACGTGAACAAATTAGGTATTAAACGATCGTGTTCGTTTCAACAATGAGTTATATCTTTAAAAGGCGCGAACTGAAACCGGACGTAAAAGAAGACACACGTACGGCAAGGACAAGCGCCAACTTCCAACTGATTTAATCTAACACCGGACATCGTCAAACTGTTGATCGATATCACCACTAGACAACCCCAAGCAACAATAAAAAGGTTCCTATTTCTTATCATACGGAGCCATTGTGAAACAAAACTGCTTTGTTCAGCAAATAAAAGGATGGCATGCCTACGCAATTGTCAGCCGCTCTTTCTATAGAGAAAGCTTCGATTATTTTTCTTCCCATCCTATCATTCCCTTTCTGCAGAAACTTGTGGGCTCTAACATTGGTTCACACCCATAACGTGTGCAGTTCTCTGCAAGATACCTACATTAATTAATGCGTATGTCAAGCTTGTCTTCCGGCACCGTTTTGTTAAAACATGGGCCGGTCTGACCGATGTAAACATGGTCGCAAGTGAAAGGAATCTTATATATCATAATTAGGTTGAGAGCTGGACTAGCTGGTAGTTGTTAAACATTATGAGATAAGAGAGTTCAGAGGAGGTACAAAAGGTAGAGACAAACCGGACGGGACAGAGCGCTGACTCGCTACTAGCTATGTTTACTGATAGAGAATAAATATAACTCACATTGTTCCACACGTTCACACGCACATCTACCCATGATATTTGCGCTTTACTGCACACGCTGGGCCTTCATTGTCAGATTCAGGAATTCTAGCTCCTTACTAGACAAAACCTCTCACGCTGAGCTCAGGCAGATTTTCCGCCGTTGTGGATGCAGAATGCCTGAGGAACCTCACACGTCACTTTTTTTGTGCCTTCCTAAAATCGGGGTGGTGTTGAAAGGCCGTTCTCACAGGCACACCTTACAGTTAACTGAAAGAAGCCCTCCCACTGTGGCTCCGAGAGAGTACCTGTGCTCACGGAGCCCATTATTCAGGCAGCGTCCGGTTTCCCCAAAGTCGGTACGGCCATACGAGAGAGGAATGTTGTACACAACGCCCATGGCACAGAGCACTAACGGCTCGCCGTGCTTGTTTCCACACGTGTTTTTTTATTTGCTATGCCTGCATTAGCTCAGCGTCATTAGCTGCATTAGCTCAGCGTCAGTGGCTTTGTCTGGCAAGGAGCTAGAGTTCCTAAAACTGACAATCAAGGTCCAGCGCGTGCAGTTAAGCGTATATATCATCGGTAGAAGATGTGCGTGGTGTTTCTTCTTCTATATCCGTAAAAACACATAGTTATGAGTCAGCGCATTGTCCTCTCTGGATTTTCTCTTCTTTTTGTACCTTTTTTGCGCTGTTTTATCTTATCATGTTTTTCATACACCATCTTAGTCACGCATTTGGTGTATCTTGCTACATGATTTTTTTAGCACGAAACAGATTTTTGTATTGACATCGCGGAGCATATCTCCGAAATTTTGCACGGCGCTTAGAACACCATTTTACAGCGTGCATAGTAGCCATTTTGTTTTTCATTTGTTGGTCATTTTGTGTAAATATGGAACCTGTATGGAAGCATGGAAGACATTTTTCGTCCTCTTTCAGTTGCCGCCTTTTTAACATTTGAATCGTTATGTAGCAACAAGCGCCAACCAAAGTTTTATTAGTAAACAGTATCAATTATGAGGAAGGTGACACAAAGAAGGGGACGGAGAAGAATAAAGCAGTCATTGTTGCCTGTTCTCATATATTTGTTACCTTCCCCATGAATGATATTGTAGATAGAAACCCATGACGAAAAAGTCGTTGTCCTACGCCTTCTCTGTCACCTTCCCAGTGGTTGATAATACAATTAATTATTTAGGTGGATGCAGGGTTTCATGTAAAAATACGCACAGCTGGGCGCTGCTTGTGCGAACAAGGAATCTTCAGGTTTTTCTCTTTCACTTTAAGGGTTAAGCCGCGGCCATAAAAAATGTCAGCGTTGCGTAAAGTCCTCAGTCGGGGCAGACATTTAAGGGGTACATTTTGGTACCTTTCTAACTATCTGGATAAAGGGAAAAAAGCATCGATGATGTCTGCACTTAAAGGGTGTCACGCAGTGCATATAATTTGTTTCAAGTGCGCATGCGGTTGAGTACAATGGGTGTTTGGCGAGAATCAATCCAAACACCCCTGGAGGCTGCGTACCTACATTCCGGAAAATAATTGATGATATTCTATCCCACATTAAACGTTATTTTATATAAAGTGGGAAATCAGTAGAGAAAGCAGTAAGAGAGGGTGATGAGGATAAAGAAGGAGGGTTCAGAGGAGGACGAGAAAGCACTGAGAATATCGGAGCATAAGAAATAGAAAAGCAACTGCACAATAAATAAATATGGAGAACTATAGTAATCTTGTTTTAGAAACGGGTAGAACTACAATTAATGTAATATCATGTACAATGTATTTTCCAATAAACAAATACTTCTAATTTTATCGCCAAGAATCAAGCCCCAAATGCTTCCCAAGCAGGTAGATTTCTTGGTGGTGCGAAAATCGTGGAAACCTGAAATATTTATACTTTCAAAACTGTATATATAATGTACATATATGACATATTATAACACTGGTAATTAAAACCAGAGCTTTTATTATATATATTAAGCATTTGCGTGGCTAACATTTGTTTAAACATTCAAGTCAAATACTACTATCAGTAAAACCGTGCAATTCCGCTCTTTCTTTTGACAAACATTTTTATTTGATTAATGGAACTTTAAGAAACCCAAGGTGTTGCTCGTAAGATTAATTTCCGTTAAATAATCTCGCAAGGATTAATTCCCCTCCATGCAACAAGATGAGTTAAGCATTGAGCGCCCACGTGTTTTGTACAGATTGAATATTGAAGAGCAACAGAACATGTGCGGTAAGTATAATTGTTACGATGGCAAAACTAGTGATTGGTCAGGAGGGATTATTTCCGCAGCTTTTGATATTCTTCTTTTTTGATTAAACATGCGGTATATCTTGGTGCTTCGTTTCTTTATAGGCGTCTACCCTTTTAGTTTTTGAATATTAACCTTAAAACTTTGGGTTGAAGGAACAGAAGAATGATTGGCCTTTCCTGTAACCTATCATCTGTTTTTTTACCTTCACTAGAAGATAGGCTTGAACGGAGGTTAAACATCTGTATGCACTTTCGCGCTTAATTAACTCTGGGCGGCTTTGAACCAGTTTGATTTAGTACCTGCAGATGATTTGCAGCAGGTGTGCATAGGCGCTGCCATAACCGACCTACAATTTTTGTTTTCTTTTATTCCGCTTATTTAACTTCATTATTACCATAGCAGGACAGGTGATTGACATTTTTGAGTCTACTGTGTCCTACTACCCAGAAAATCTTTGGGAAGGACTCTTTAAGCCTAATTCCGAGTCTTGTGATCTAGGTCAAACAATAGAAGGTCAGCAAACGCGCTTGTGACCTGGCACGTATGTAACGCATCAATATGCGCTAGTCTTTGCACACACTACGGTTTACTTTGCAGCGCTTGCAAGACGCCACGTTAGAAGGGCCAAGTAAACGTATATTCTACAGCTCTATGTTTGGCGTGTCATGACGTGCGGCGTCATGGGTTTTCAAAAACACATGTTTGCTAAAATCTATGATTTTGCTCTTTTGTAGTTTGTATTGGAGGCTGTTCTACCTGGATCCTCGCCAGCTGTCATTGCAATCGACCACATCGACGTAAGAGGGGGAGAATGCAAGAGTAAAAGTATGTCTGACCTCTAACAATTCTTTATGCGCAAATTGCTATGTTGTGGTCGACTATAGAGAAATGTTTGATTCTACCTGTTGTAAACATATTCATATTAGTAGCAAACTGGCACACCAATTTTTGAGCACAACGTGCCTTTTTTTCAGCCTTCCGCTGTGGCTAAATTTTGAGCTTAAAATTGTTTGTGAAAAATGAAAGGTAGTTTAGTTTTTTCAGAAAAGCATGTTGTTAATTGCTGAAAATTGTGGAAAATAAAATAACAATATAGGAGCGGAGCTGAAGCGGCATGTTGCGCATAAGAGATATATTAGGTATGGATATTTATAAATCAAGGGACTCCGATTTCTATTTTGGCCAAAACGCGAAAATCTTCTATCTAAACATTAAATAGCTTGTCCAAAATGCGCGGCTTTTTAGCTGAGAATAGATTATTTCGACATTGCTTGCAGTCTATTTACATTTTAATTCTGAATGAGTATACAAGTAACCTAATATCTGCCATTACCGAAGTTTACATATATTATCAAACATATGAAATTTAATTGCTTTTAAACTATCAATATGATCTATGAGGAAGGTAATTGGCGCAACTACTACTTGAGCAGACCAATAAGATATTTTAATTGCGGTAGTGTCTTAAGAATAGGGTGAGGCAAATGGAACGTTGTGAGATGAATATAATTATTCCTACCGTATCTTCATGTTCGTCGTTGATAGAAGAACAGGTGCTGATTAAATTCTCAGAAGAGTTAGTCTATAGTTCAGTACTCTTCTTACCAAGCATACGAAACCTGTTGACAAGCAAGAACTGCGAAGCTCGCGGGCTACGCGACATTTGCTTCAGTGTAGCGCACACGTCTTGGGTGGAAAGATCTCTCAACGGGGCTAAGCCGCCGTGATTATGTAAGATATATGTTAGGCAGCGATGTCATGAAAATCAACGTTCGACATTCGTGCTTCTTTTAATTGGAAAATGATGAAAGTGCTTAAGGTTAAAGCGCACTAGACGAGGACAAAACGAGAGGCATACGAAGAGACAAGCACTAGCGCTGGCTTACAACTCCTTTGTATTCTTCTTCTACCTCTACTTCCTCTTCACGACATTAGATTCAATACGAGATCGATTATAAATGAAAACAAGGAAACACCGTATTTTTTCTCACAAGCCACAGCGATCATCGCGCTAAATATTCTACTTATTCTTCAGATATCATCAGGGATAGGCTACTGGCACAATTACCTTGTAGGCGCTCGATAATATCTGCCTCTATTATTTCTCTGGTGAGCTGGTTTCTACTCCCCTAGCGATGACGGTACATTTCTCTAAATCTGCTGAGCACCCGCAATACTTGCTTTGGATGCCGACATGTCCAGAAACGAATTTGTTCGTGTTAATTGTGATCTTTTGTTCGATAGTCAAAGCACCACCCAGTTTCTCAGATATGTTTCTTACCACACGAGAGTGGAATACCATCCCCTCCAGGGTGTTGAAGGCACCCAGCATATTTCTAGAAATGCACCGTCATAGATACGAGTAGAAACCAGGTCACCATAGATATAATTGAGGTCGAGATGTTCGCGCGCCCAGAATATAACTGTGTCAGCAGCCCATCCCTTACGCTATCTGAAGAAGAAAGAGAATATAGCGCGATGATTGGAGTGGCTTGTGAGAAGAATTTTGTTTCCTTTTATTTATTTATAACTAATCTGGTATTTAATCTAGTGTCGTAAAGAAGAAGTACAAGTAGAGGAACGCAAATGAGCTTTAAGTCAGTGCTTGTGTTTCTCTCTTCGTGAGTCTCTCGATTTGTCCTGGTCTAGTGCGCTGTAGCCTGTAGATGAATCACCAACTCGCCCAAGCTTCCGTCTCAATGAAGAAAATCTATGTGCATATACCAAGCAGATTTAAAAATACCTTCTATTTAGATTTCTGCAATACATATTTTTGGTAATATGCCATCGTCTGTAAACACAGCTACCAGTGCTTAGAAGTGAACAAGTCGAATTTCAGGTTCGACTTCTACCAGTTCATATGGGTTTTTGTTTATGAATGAAACAGTAGTAAAACACTTGAAGCAACTATATGATATTCGATTCACAAATATTCGGTCAAAACCACTATTCGATTTGAATGTGCTTGAAATTCAAAATCCACTTGAAATTCGCGCATTCACTAGAATGAGCTTGAAATTCAAAACCAACAAGCAAAGCCAACAAACCGGCCTTTAAATCTTGCCAGAGAGGGGCTCAAACCTGGGTCGTGGCAGTGGCAGTCGGACACAACTGAGCTCAATTTCACGCATCTGAATGTCACTGAGTCGAATGGCACACAGTTGCGACGCACAGCTTCTCTGCATGGGCTGGGCTCCAGGTCAAACGTACCGACGAGAGTTATGAGACGAGATACCCTGTGACCGCTTGCCTCACTGATGTTCCACATCGCGCTCGTGCGGAGCGCTCGTTGGCTTGATCTCGCCCTAAATAACATATGGTGAAAAAAAATAAAATATCCCAAATCACACAATGAGTGGGATTTCTGCTTGTGTGCCGCGCGCCTGCTGACAATCATATTAGTACAATTCGTTTGCAGAAGAAAAATGATGACAGGCAAAGTGGCTCACGGCGTACATTTAAAATCCGGTTTGGAGTAAATGGTAACACGACATTCACATATGTTGGCCATTTTCTAAAGGCACGCTCATTGTTTTCTACTAGTCGCGATAGCACATGACGTCACGTCACGTGACACAGTAGGACATCGCAGCGTAACGCGTCATGACGTCACGCGATGTGGTCGTATGAATTCAGGCACCTCGTGGTGTCACATGGTAGAGTGTCAGGCCACGCAACGTCATGCGATGCGATCTCCTGACGCGACGTCATGTAATTACGTCCTCCTTTTCGTGTGCGCTATCAGACGTCCTTCTATAGGCAATACGCGGGCCCTCGAGGCAAATAAACGGGAAGGAATGGAGGCTTGCGCCCTACAGCATTTTAGGTTTCAAGATGTCAGTGCGATGATGCATTAGTTTTTTCTGCTTTAATAATCTTTTTTTTTGTAAAATCTAGTTACGTGTGGCTACAACTTTACTAATCAAAAGTGCATTTGAACGTGAGGGAGTTTGTGAAATAGTCTGTACAGGGGGTTTATTCAAAATATGTTGGCGTCTCGAAAAAATAATTTAAACGGGAAATTAGTACGATCTTATGCAATGCTCTGCTCCCTGGAAACTGTGATAAAATTATAAAAAAACGTTCTGGTGAAGGGTTTTATAGCTTCCATTGAGGGCCGACATAAAATGCGCGGTTAAGACTATTAAACGCGATTCCTAGGCACCTGCCGACAAGCCGAGACAATGAAATCGCTGCGAAGCACATATAGCTCAGGCTGAGTTCGTTGGCTAACACGTCTATAGAATAATCATACCAGCGAATTTTCGCAGTTTTATCATGCCACTAGTACTTAGGAGGACAATAATGGCCTGAGTCACGCCTCGGTCGGTGCTACTTTAAGATTATTTTTATTTTATAGCAAAAGTTGTGATGTCCATGAGCAAATGAACGATATTTCATCATGCTAAAATAAATATTAGAATATAAACACAAAGGGAGGATTCCTTTGGGGGAGTCTTTTCCTTGCTTTTCTTTATAAAGATCATTGTGAGTTGTAATACATATACAAGATTTTGACATATAAAAATAAACAAGAGGCTAAGACGCGTGGTAATATTTCCGTACATGTAAGAGCACCAAAAAGATATTCTACCCTGTTAGTTTTCGCATTTCATCTATAATCTGGAAGGGTCTGCTCCATCTGAACAACACAGACATGCCACGGTATACGCGTACATTCACAAAGAGGTTAGTTTACAAACCGGGTACATGCTGTAGCATATGTTAGCATTGTCACCAAAACGAGTTACTTATAATAAAATGCGGTGAATGCGCATTAATTATACCGTTATTAATACATTTTACCTTTTCAATTTCTATTTCTTTTGAGAGGTACCGGTATATTGATTTCTTTCTTGGACGCAATTTGTCACGTGTCCGAAAAAAAAAGTGCTGTATTGGGCATGATGTTCCTCTTGTAGTCTCTTTCGTCATCCCAACATTTGTAAATATGATATCTTGCATAAATTCTGAAGCTTGTATAACCTTTGTTCTTCTCTCCAAACTAGCGGTATGTGACTTTGAATACGACTTCTGTGACTGGAAACTGCACGACTGGGAGCTCAGCAGCGGACGCTCTATTCCGGAACCTAGTATAGACCACACCACTCAAACACGTTCAGGTATGTTATTATATTTATGGAGTGGAGGCGGAAAGAGGTTATATGCTTGAATACTTCTGGTCAATCCCGAAGCTTCAAACACGAAAACATTGCGGCACAAACGCCGCCATTATTTCCCCAATGGTTCACTTTTGGTGGACGGCAATTTACACTACTCATTCTATGCATTATTGAGAAGGAGAGCAATAAACAACGCCAGGAACTATAATGCGTTTCCAGTAATAGCTGTTTTCTGCGAGGTTTAGGCTTCTGGAGGCCACATGACACCACCAGAAATGAAGGCGGGGAAGGCTTCACGTTTGGATGGACACTCCCCCAACGATCACCAAAAACAAACAAAACTATAAGAGACGCTACTGGACAAAAAGGACAGCTGATTGGACGCCAACGGATATTTCGGTCACCCCTGGGGGCGTTTCCCACCGACAGCGACCCCTACTTCCGTCTTCACAGGGGATTTTCTCGTTTAGCTGGCTACATCCAGGAGGTGTCGCCTCCTCTTCTTTCTCCTTACGTGATCGGCGCCATTGAGCCTGAGAGGTCTCCGTTGTAGTTCAAAATTTTAGATAGTACGGAAACCCTGGTAATGTCACTGACAAGGCAAAGCGGAAGTGCGTCTCTTTCGAAATGCCCCGCCTCCAGCACGGGCTCGCTCGCTCCCCCCGTGCGTAGGCTGGGCTCCTCCCCGCCGTTCTACTGCCATCAGGGAGTCTAGCCTCAGGTATTTAAGGCGGATTACGCGGTAGTATGCAATGTTGTTAGTTAGAAACGCGGATGTTGAAATAGAATAAAACTTTGATGCCATCATGGCTTGAGTGAGATGTTCTAAAATTTTCTCTGTAAAGTGCATTTTCAGGATCACTTCGCTAAGTTCCAGAGTTCGTTTCTACGTATGATGTAGACACTTTGGTTATCTTACACCTGGCTAAACCACGTGCATGTATAATAAACACGCGTCTTAATGCAGGATGCTTCGCATCGGAATTTCATCTTTTAAAATTCGGGAGGTACAGTTGCAAGGGAAAAGAGTAGCACAAGTGACTGACGACCGGAGCGGCCAAATCGCGACACGCGGCGCTATTGTTCCTGTGCGCCCCGATTGCGAGAGTGCCAGTCACGTTCCATGTCTTAACGGGCGGGTGGCCGGCAGAAAGCAGCCCATCCTAAAGACCGCATTTCGAAAGCTATCTTATGCCTTAATTTTCTGCCCCCCCCCCCCCCCCCCCCCCCACCCCCTTCCCGCGTTGACACATGCAACGTGGCTGGCACTCTCGCTAAAGGCGCGCTCGGGAATGATAGCGCCGCGTGTCGCGATTTTGCCGCTCCGGTCATCGGTGACTTGTGCTAATCTTTTTCCGTTCCAGCTAAACAAATCTGCCGGTTCATTGCTAGCTGGTAATAAAAGAGCAATCGGTTTTTTCCGATATATTTTTTTATTTATTCAAGTTTTAAAGTTATATTTAAAAGACACAAGTATGAATAAAAATGAAGATCCTTAATCAATTTAAATATATGAAACTTTTTTTTTTTCACAAACCAGATAACAAAGTACACAGGATAGTGCCGAAGTATGATATACAAAAAGACGCGTCGCTGAAGTCACGCACCAGCGATGGCGCTGGTATTGGAAGGAGCATGCACAGACGCTCCACTTCACACGAATCTGGTTTCTGAGCATGCGCAGTGACCACGCTTCGTGCTGAAACTGCGAGTTTGCCCACACCTTATGAGGCCTTGTTTGGAGACCGCGCGTTAGCCTATAAGAGCTCGCTCGCCCTTTTACGATTTGCCATAATTCTCGTTGCTTACATGATCATCTACATGCGCAGCAACTTCGCCTACATCCTAGCTTGGACCCGTTTTTTGCGCATATCTGTATTGAGGAGCTTCGGAACTGAATTGCGATGCAAAACAATATCATTTCAATTCGACGTACAAAAAAAAATTCTGCAGTCATTTTTCAAACAAAGTTTGGCACGTATTTTTTAATTTTTTTTTTTTGAACTGGTTGCAGTGGAAAGAAAAGCGCAATGTATGCTTAGATAGGTATAATACTTAAAATCAACATTTGACGACATTTCTGCGCTCGGTTTATTTCAATATAGTTCACCGAGTTCAACAAAATACATGTGTCGTTTCCAGTGCTTTCAGATAGGGCAGATGTTACTAGCAACCCTTTGTTTCCTAGAAAGTATTATTGGAGCAGAGTGATTTTTAAAATGGTGAAATGCAATATTCAAATTCGGGAAAAAATAGAGCGTTCATTCCGATATTCAAGAAACATAATTGGGTTTTACATTTCGGAAAATATCGGGTTTTAACGCAAAAAAAGACCCTACGTTTTATTTTTCTCCATCAACCTTCGTTTTAATCATATTTATTAAAAAAAAAAACGTCGTACATGCCTGTAGGATCGCCTACTCATCACGTTATTCGAATGCCTGCCTAAATATATAAACTTATGTGCGCTTGCTTGTCCGGTATACAACCCGTTTCCAGTATGATTACCGTTAACTGTTCCCCTCTCAGATCACTTTTACTGATTTCTCAAAAGGCTTTTAAGCAACAATTCGATTTACATAAACGAGAATAGTTTTCACTCGTGCCAAATGAATAGCAAGGTGATTGGAAACACTGCGTTTTCCTTCTCTCAACCCTTCAACTGGTGATATATAATTTTTGTTTCGGCTGCCCTTATCAAGCACAAGTACATAAATTGTTGCGACCATGACTCTTTCTTCCCTACTTAGCGACAAGCCGTACATGCTTTCAAGTTATTATTTCGTACCCCTCATAGCATAAACTAAAGTATTGAGATAAAGGCGGCACGTTCTATCATTGCAGACATTTCTTCACCGACTAGAGTCTTATTTTACAAATGTAGCGACGGAGAGCTCCTATGTGTAGGTAAAGGACCTACATTCAAGCTTTGTGTATGCCCCAGGCTCCTACGTACGGCTGTTGAGGTCTAACGGTCACCTCGTGAGCCCGGATATGGTCGTCCACCCACCTAGCGGGAGCTGCCTCAAGTTCTGGTACTACCTGTCCGGCACAGACGCGGAGCAGCTGAATGTGAGCCGCGTGACTGACTCCACGCGCGAGGAGCCAATATGGAGCGTGCTCGCTTCTCAAGTTCCCCAGAAAACATGGCTTCAAGGATCAGCCAACCTGTTGGGACACACGGGACACCTCGCGGTGAGCCGATTCTCTCTCGTACAGATCTTGAATGTATGGACAGTTGGTAGTGGCCAAACCCATTGTGTAGGGTTCAGCTAATATTTATTTAGTGGACATCGGGATATATTTATGTTAATAAAACACAACATTTGTGGTAGCGCTAGAAGCTCTGTTTGTCACAAAAAGGAAGACTCGACGACACGTACTAGCGAATGTACCATTAATCCCGTGAACAAAAAGAATGGAAAAGTGCGGAAATTGCAACTCAAGGGTGGCATGTTAGAAAAATATGTATGATTATTCTGAACATTGAAAAATATGCTATATCACAAAATACATAATGAATTGAGAAGCTCAGTGCAAAAGTAGCCGAAAGCAATCTGTCTCCGCAAGTAATATTCTGAAACTTTCACCGAAGGTGAATTTTAGCGGTGAATTTTACATTCTGAATTTTGAAGTGTAGCTCCGTTTGTGTGGATCAATAGAACAGCTTCAATACATTTAGGAGCATCTACAGGCGCAGATGACCAAGTGTAACGAGAGTCGTACTTCTTCCATCGCCCTATGTGTGTAGCAACCACTCCGTCAAAGGCAAATGACGGCGACAGAACGTGTGCTTTTGCCGCTTGAGAGCCGACGACAGGAGCATGACTCTTCTTCTGCTATGACGTCGGCGCCTGCACACGTCATTAGAAACGTGACGGGTGCTCGTCATCTCATCTTTCGCGGAAATAAAGACACGCCTCGAAATTTATCGTGCTCATTTGATTACAGCTTCGTCGGAAGTTGGAGCTTCTCACAGCTTGTTACACTGAGAAACAATTTTTACGACTTAGTTTTTAAGAATCATCTTAATTCATTACATCTTAGATTTTACGAAACACGGAAGTGCAGGCAAGGACAAATGCGAAAGAAAGGTACTTGAATTAGTTAAGGTGTGTTCGAGTTTGATTTGTTCGTCACCTAGCACACTCTGGCTACTTGAAAAAAAAAAATCGTTTCTATGAGTACTGAGGTAAATATTACCTGGTCAGAAATAATTTTTTTATTGGGTTAGGCAAAGCTAAGTTTCGTGAGCCATATTAAAGAAAACAGCAATATATTTAGAATTACCATCGTTGCTCGCCTAAAGAAAAACTTTCTAACTGTGTCGGTAGCCTTCAAACTAAATTCGTGGATGAATGAACAAGCTGTCAATATTTCCAAACCCCACATCAGTAACGCCACTGTCAATTTGGTCTATGTAGGCTCAACCCAACTTATTATGTTTATTTATTGAAGCTTCTCCCTAACAAAAAATCAGCTACAATTTTCCTTGAACAATACACTAAGGTTTTTAACATTAAGCCTTCGAGACGTCAGAAAACATAGCTTATTAAGAGTTCCCTCAACGTAGAAAAATCGGCCAATTCGTCAATAAATCTTATTTGCCTAAATGTATAGTTTTCATGGTTTATTCAATAAATGCAGCAATTTAGAGCTTTTGCGTTTTTGAGCTCTTTTCCATCGCTGCCATACTCACATACGTGTTTTTGTGTTGCTAAAGGCGGCATTCACGGGAACCACATCGGGCGATCCCGGCACAGCAGTTGCAGTGGACGACATCCACACTGACATGAAACCTTGCGTCCCTGCCGGAAACTGCAATTTTGAGGAAGACTTCTGCAACTGGAGGAACATCGGGCCTGAGAACCACATGCGGTGGTACCGCAACAGCGGCGACACCCTGACTCGCGGTGGCCCCTCCAGTGATCACACTCTCAAGACAGCCGAAGGTGAGTGCATTAGTTTTTTTGGGTTATTCGACTGACATTTACTCTTAGGTATTTTTCAGCCGAAATGTCCGTTTCAAAAATTTTGTTTTCAAGAAGCCACTCTATTTTGAAATTTTGACCAGTTACAGTGCAGGTTTGGACATCTACGCTTTAGGCACTTTAATTATTCAGACCACTAGCTAAAGTTTCCATCAATATAACAAGCCCATTCTTTGAGAGGGTCAGCGGACGGTGCTAAGCACTGTTTGGTTCGCCGCAATAACATTTTCGGGAGAGAATGAAGCAAAATGGTGATTTCTTTTTCGCCTAATCAAAGTAAACCTATCGAGGGGGAACGCCACAGAGCGCCTCAAACGCAATGTCGAATGGGTCCTCTCTATTCTTAGAGACTGTACGCAATGATTTTTATTAATATAGTAATTGATATTTTTATATGTGACAAAAGGATTGATTATGATTTTTCATCGAGAAAACCCAATACAATGCTTTTGTTTATTGCTCTTGTTGGTATTGTTATCTCCCGCAAACTGTTTTAAACGTTCCTAAAAACTAAAGATATATTTCATTAGTATATAGCCTTCTGTAGTATGAATTGGCATGTCTTAAAATTATGTAAATCACAAAAAGAAAGTAGACGTAAGAGTCAACAGTCACATCCGTGTAGCTGGAAAACTCCCACGTACTACGTAACGTGGCTTTAATTGACGTGACTTTTGAATTATTGTTTGAGAATATTGCCGCGCCAGCAGCTGGCCATGTAGGCAGCGCGGCCGTGGCCTAGCCGTTATCGTGCATGCTTCTCACGCGAACAGTCGGGGTTCGATTCCTGGGAGCGACGCGCCTTTTTTTTTTTTTTTGCAATTTAGTGTTTTGGTACATTCGAGAACTCTGTTGCTTGTTCGAGGTACCAATGTTCTAGTCGCCGTACCTTCTAGGTCGATTGTTCCAGAAGCCAGCGCGTCTGCATGAGGGCCTCTGCGCGGCAATTCGCAGTCAGTCTCGCCCCAGCGTTCGACTCTGCTGTTACGCCAACTTCGACGCACGCGACGCTCTGCTGTTATCTTCCGTTTCCTTTTTATTTAGAGCGCAAGTTCGCCCCATTAAACGTTTTAGTTTGTTCAGTTATTTCTTGTTTGTCACATCGTTATTCGTGAAAATATTTCATGGTGCACAGCATTTTGATGTAATATTCTGTATTTTGGCATGATATTAGTTGAAAGTCGTCCCATAGTTTTTTACTTTTCATTTTGTGCTTGCTTTAAATTCGAACACATATCTGAAAGAAATTCAAAAGTTGCGCTGACGCGGTTCGTGCATTTTAGTTAATACGACCATGGGGAAATTATATAGACGGCTAGCTTTTCGATGATTTTAGTCAAGAACTAAAAGTTTTAATTAGCTTTTTATTTAGAAAAATAACTATAATGTTATATTACAAACTTCTGCACGAGGGGTAACTTCGGTGCATTTCCGCGCTTCCCAGGTGCGTCAAGTCGCTCGAAAATTGACTCCTTTATTTGTTTTAAATGAGAATAAATATCAATTTAAACCACATCTTTATTTTCGCTACCTAAAAGTTAAATAGAAAACAGTTAATAGTTCGACCTTTTGCGACAATTATCGTCCAAAGTCCTCCTGGTTGTATAACTTACCTGCTCGTACCTCATCCGTGTACCACTTACGAATTTCTTTAATGAATCTGTTCGTACTAAAATTAAAAACACCCCTCATATTGAACGTTATATAAAATCACACACAATGAATGAAATATTTGAAAACAGTATACAATGACACAGGAGTGGTGAGATTTAACTTAAGGTCAGATAACATTAATTAATTCTTACCGTGGAAACAGGACAAGTCTTGGTCGATGCTTTTATAAAGGTCCCCATTGTGTTTTAATTTCAATATATTCTCTCTTTTTCAATAAAGTTGTTTGCAATCGCCGACCTTTGGTCTGAACCTTCAGCTCTTCTGCTGTCACCTGCACCTCTGAGTGCAAAAAAAAATTACATATTTTTTATGATTACTTTATGTAGGACGTAGAATTATTTCAATGCAAGTTAAGTATTCGGTAATACAACAGGCAAGTTATAATCAGGAGTAACTAAATCTAATATGAATTTTTATTTTGTTGAACAATATAATGTTTAAAATACATATATTAAAATCTACACAGTGCAGAAACGTTCAAGCTAGTATTGTTTATGTATAAACCGTGTGGAAGTAAGCACGTACCAGATTCTGTCATATCAGTTTTATAATGCACTTCTTTTAATTCGATACGCGAAATGTGCTCCTTTCGCAAATGGGTACAGCAATGTTAAGGCAAACAGCTCAAGACACCGGAACAAGTAATAAAATGTACTTGTTTTCCTTGAGAGATGCATTATAAACGTGATTGTATTAGTAGTAGCTCTTGATTATTAAAAAATAGTGGCATATGTGAATGTAAATCACATATGCACTAAAAGCCTAAGAGCTTAAGCATCACCTTCTTTTATGCATTCATGATCCGTTAAAATGTGTAGTAGGTTTCGCCTTTGCATGTTCTAGAATCTGTCGATTCTGAATTTGTCGATAATCTGTCGAAGAATCTGTCGATAATTCACAAAAGAATTAGTTATTTTTACCTAAAACTGTACCTTGGAGCCTTGCCGACAACGTACCATGCAAAGCGTCTATTCTTTTTACCATTGACTTCGTGTTGTCCAAAGCATTATGTTAACGATTCCTTTAATTTTTGTCATAAACAAATACTGCCATAAAAATATTAAATGACCCCGCGTTATAAAAAGTTGCAGAAATAACTCGCAAAACTACAGCGACCAACGTAAAATGGGAATTGGTTGCTATCCGCACTACACCTGAACGTGTTGTCAGCTGTTGTGCATGTTCCTTTATGTTATTAACTGTTTTATTTTGAAAGCCATCTTCTGGAGCACAAACTGAATACACTATATACAGATAATACTTGGTTCGTATAGGTGAGGAACTTCAGTCGCAATAGGTGGTAGTTTATAGATCCCTTTGGTTTATAAAACTTTAAGATTACTGGAACACTTATCTGAAAGAATATATATTTGTAGAATTAGATGACACCGGTAAATTTCGTTAACAGATGTGATCTGATTAAGGTTTACAATGAGAGGACCTGCATCTACAGAAAGCGCTCTTTCCTTCAGGATTTTTTCTTTCTCTAACTCACCTTTTCTCGAGCGTTCGTTCAGTTTAAGTTAAAATAGTAGGGGTTTTAGCGAGCAGCTTGGTCTGTTACTGTTAACATACAAGATTTTACAAAGATGACTTCAAATAAAGTGTAATTATTCATTGCTTTGCGGGGTGCTTCGCTAATCTGTAAAAAAAATGAACCAACTCACCTATATCGCGACTGTGATTTTATAAGAGGATTTCTTTAACTCCACCCTGAAGGTTCTAAAGATAGTAATAAACAAGTTTATATTGTTTCTAAACTGCAGGCATCTACTTGGTTCTGGACGCTCAAGATCTGTCCGAGGTTCGAGAGGGTGCCCTAGAGAGCGAACTCCTAAGCTACGGACCGGACGTCTGCTTCCGTATGTTCTACCGAATTGCCAGTGGGAGTGAGTATACGCCTAAGTAAATCTTTACTTTTCGAGAATACTTGCAAAATTTAATTTTAACAGAAATCTCCAAAAAGCTGCTTCCTAAATGGCCCGTTAAAGAACTGCATTTGACCTTTTTACGCAAAATGCGATTAATATATTCAAATCAAAGCGCACTCATTATATACTTCAAGGCCAGAAAGCATGATGCCAGTGAGCTGTTCCTCATCGTCAATGTCATCTTAATCATCATTGCTAGTCTTGAAGCACATAATGTGAACGCCGTTTTCCGCTAATATGTGACCGCTTGAGCCCCGTTGAGTGCGCTTCGTTTTTACCGGACTTTTACAGAAAGTGGAGGTTTGGAGAAAATAACAAATATAATATATTCCTTGAGCTTTGGATATTTACTTTTTGATGAACCAAAGCACGACTGTTTTAACCGTAAATCACAGCAAGGACACCTATGCCATAACAAGCAGGACCCACAGGACACTACAAAATAATATTGGGATGAACTGCCGGCAGCTGAAAACACTTCGATGGACATGATACTCCTCATATTCTTTTTAAGGTCACATGGAAGCTGAATTGCACTGAAATACGATTCTTTTTTAGGAATCAAGGTGGAACTAGGGTGCTCACTTTTTACCCATTGGCGTTTGCTATTTTAAAAATAGTTATTTAAAAAAGAGTAAGGTTTTTTGCACATAGGCTTTGGACCCATGACCTAGAAACAAAATTGCTTATTCTCGGGGGATGCTATTACGTCGTTTTGGGGGATTGGGCAGGAATAACTAGACGGGTTCAAGGTTGCCTACAAGGAATACTCGATGGTCAAGTTCCGCCTATCTGAAGATCTCGTTCGACTCTTTTATCCGTGATTTGAGATTCTTAGTTGTGTGGTCAATTCAGAAACATAAGTGCATTGTGAACCTGCATTATGTCGGGAGCTGCGTCCTGTTGCTCCTTATGAAGTATCTTTGTTCGCGCGTTTTCCTATATTTATATCGATTCAAATTTTATCGCACATATTACACAATATCCGGCGGATAGCCCTAAAGTAAAAAGCTATTGCCTGACTACATATTTGCCCACTACAAATTAAAATAAACTACATTGTAACAGTATATCGCATATAGAAAAATAAAATAAATAGGCTAATAAAAACTGCATTCACCCTCCGCAGTTTTAGCGGGGCGCCGACATTTTATTCATTACATGTGTTTTTTTCGCATTAACGCACGTAGCAAATGCCGCCACGGTGCTTTCAACTAACCTTTGTTACTTCAATGGAACCTCCACCGAGCGCTCATTAAGGAAAACTGTTATGTTTTACCTTTTACCGTCATGATGACTGTAACATGTAATAAAGTCCACCACGCAAAACTATTAATAAACCTAGCGCCAACATTATTCTGTGATGGGCATGCTGTTATGTCTTTCCGCGGCGGATGATACCAGTCAAAAACAGTGAGAAAGGGGAAACTGTGACTGCTAGAAATGGTGGCGCTGATAAATTAATTCTAGTAAACAAAACGCACGAACAAAATCAGTGAATGAATGTTGACACTTAAATTCATCAGCATACACCCTGTATGCAACATATTTTACCACCAATATAAGAAATAGTAAGTTCATGCAAAAGTTACAGCCGAGGAAACTTGTGAACCAAGACGACGCCATCGACTAACACGTAGATAAATATTGTTTGGTTTCTTACTGATTTATATTTATTTTAAAATTTTGACTCAGTTGTATTTTTCTTGTTTTTGAACAAGAAAACGTTACTGCGGGATTCCCGAAACAAAAAACAACATAAATTCCAGGTATAATTGAACCTCAAGCACGCGGTTTTCTGAATAAACGAAAAGTAAGACAAAGAACAATAAAATAATCTTAGGGCATACGCTTTAAATACTTCTTCAGTAATCTCCAAACGCTCTCATTGATTTTTTCCTATTGACACGTGCAGAAATAATTTCAAAACAAATTAGCTCTAAAAATAACTATATATATTTCCGCAACATTGTTTACAACTCTGAGAAAAAATTAGGCTCATATAATTAATCATTGTGAATCTCGTGATTAAATAACAAATTACTGCTCGTACCAAAAAAACCGAAATACGGAGACTATATGGAGCCTTTGGGGCTTCAGTAGTTTCTGTCGACGCCATGATTATAGGACCGCTTTTTGCGGATGGAAAACGCCGACGCTTTTTCAAAAAGCAATGCGGCTTCCCCATAAAAGAAAAAAAAATAGTTCGTATATTTTTTTGACGGGAGACTTTTTTTTATATGTCCCAACCCTTTTTTTCCTTAAAGAGAAATCAGAACGCAAGAATGAAAACAAAACGGTCAAACCAGGAGGTATTGATCCCTTTCACCGCACTTGTGAAAGCGACAATCCCAGCAATCAACGCATCCGCGCTGTATGAAAAAAAGGCTCGAGGTACACCCAAGCACTTCTTATGAGTTGTGAACTCGAAAGCACGCCACTCCGCTCTTTGCTCCCTTCTTTAATCTGCGGCGTACAACGCGCTGACCTTGGGCATGAAACGGTGGAGCCGCTGCCTTGCGGACACGCAGCACCATCGGGTGAGCGATCGTTCAAACTGTCGTTTGCCTTGCGGCGCGAGGAAGTAACAGACAACAACGTAGTTCCCAGCGGAACGAAACCCTCGGTTTATTCCATGCGCCGTATATATCGCCACGCGCCGTACAACCGATAAGAGGAAGCGAACGCGGTGGATTATTGGTCACACAATAGTGTGATAACACGGTCAAGATGACGCCTCACAAACTGACGCGCAGCGGCCAATAGAAGCCTTGTCAACGCGCGCCAGTCAATGGGAGCGAAGTGTAAACGGTGTCGGTGTCTAGCTTCGCGCGTGGTTTTATTAAGGTGCCGTTTTGCATGGTCTCAAAGCTGATGACGTCGGCTCGCTGCATGAGACAGCTAATGTTTTCGCATTAAAAATGTCCTAGGTCCGTGTCACAAAAAAACCTAGAAAGCAACTGAAAATAAACTGTGATGATGACAGCTTGGGCGAGTTGGTAAAGCATCATACCGGGTGATTCAAGGAGATGGCAGGCTCTTTAAATCGACCGGAAAATTCGGTTTCTTAACCTATCGCGCTACGAGTTTGGGCAGCGTTGCCCAGAGATAATGCATTTTTTTGTGAAATTTGCAAAGAGCGAACTTACCTGGGGAAAAAGTAAAGAAAGAAAAAGGCTTAGCTCCTACGGAAACGCAGCGACGCCACCGGTCTGCAAACAACATGGCTCCGTTTCCCACGGGAGACAAGAGATGGCACAGCAAACGGCGCCATCGAACGAGCATACGGCGCAGAGAGCAAGTTTCTTAGCAGGCGATCTTTTCGACTCAAAAGCGGCGCGCGTACCGCAGGCGGCGACAGTCGCAGAAACAAAAGCAGGCGCGGTAACAACAAGGAACTGCAGTTCCTTGCCTGCTAAAGGGCCGGCTCTCGGCGTCGTCTACTCGTTCGTTGGAAGCAGTTGGCGTCGCGACCGCTTGCGCCATCTCTTGTCTCCCGTGCGAAACGGCGCTCTGTTGTTTGAAGACCGGTGGCGTCGCTGCGTTTCCATAGGAGCTAAGCCTTTTTTTCTTTACCTTTTTCTCAGGTAAATTCGCTCTTTGCAAGTTTACAACAAAAATGCACGATCAATGGGCAACGCTGCACAAAGTCGTAGCGCGATAGGTTAGGAAACCGAATTTTCCGGTCGATTTAAAAAGCCTGCCATCTCCTTGAATCACCCGGTAGTAACAACATCGCGAAACAACAACACACACACTGGACACGCACACACATAGGACACACAGCACTCACTTGCGTTCTGCGCGACGAACAAGAATACGAAGCCAAACTGCTTCGTATTCTTTGTGTTCGCGAGAGGTGCAACAATATTTTCCGTACCTTCCTGGCGTCTCATTCCTGTATTTGGCAAAAAATATTGTTGTGTGTTTGATAGCGTCAAAGATGGGGCACTCGCAAGTGCAACTTTAAGCCGTGCAATCCTTTGTTCCTCAATTACCTCTCAAGGAACTACACCGCACAAAAGAAAAAAAAAATACACCATTGAAATTTTGTTTCCTGCACAAACAATGTAGTTTACTCTATTCCTTTTTCATGCGGCAAGCCATATATCAGGATATCTGGGCGATGCTTGAACGAACAATTAACAGGACATTACTATAATCCCCGCAACGTGATCTCCGAACATTTAGGTCTAGCTGTCGCGATTGGGGGTGTGAGGCTGATCTTACGCGGTGTTCTTTTATAGGTAGAGCCCAAGCAGCACGTTGTGAATGGGCCATCGCTGGCAAGTGTGCTATGGCCAACCAGATTTTCAATGGCCCAAGCTTGGCCAAAGTGCTCGGCAATAGCAGTGTTTTCGTCCTCGTCTGGTGACTTGCCATTCACTTTATGCCAGTCGCTGTCCATTCACTTTAGGCCAGCGACTGGCCATTCACTTTAGGCCAGTGACTGGCCATTCACCTTTGTCCAGTGGCTGGCCATTCACTTTAGGCCAGAAAATGGCCATTCAGCTTTGGCTAGTCACTTTCGGCCAGCCACTGGCCATTCACGTTTGGCCAGCCACTAGCCATTGATTTCCGGCCAGTCACTGGCCGAAAGTGGCTGTAGTTATACACTTAATACATAATTTATTACAGACCGCCAGAAAATTTGGGTGTTCCTCAGAAGACTGTCAAGAGTTTCGGGAGGTCAAGTTTGAGAACTCAACCCCAGAAACTTTTACACAGTAATGACACGCGAATCTGCTGCAAGTCTGCTCAATATTTATTGGACCTTTTTGAGTACTAAGTCTTACGACGCTGGTTGCGACCACCATTCCAGTCGTCGTGGGTTCAGGGATGGTATGTTGTCCCACCATTAAGATCCCCCGGTAGTGCAGCAGTAAAAAAATAAATAAAAAAGAAGTAACTTTAGGTGAAAGGACAGTGCAACAATAGAGAGTTTTAGTAGATCGTTC